GTGTCATCAAAAGAGTCGTCCGGCTGAGGTTGTGAGTTTAAATCTGGCACCAAACCAGTGTTCATACTCTGGGTAGCGATTTGAAGATTGTTGTTATAGCCGTCGTGCGTTCCAACCCTCAAGTTCATATCCGATGGAATTAAATATAACCCCGGTTTTACGACAAAATTTAAAGGTGTTCTGGCATACTGCAGCGAGTCTTGAAATTGATTGATACTCGTTTCCATATCGTCTACTGCATTGATGATATCTTCAACGATGACGTTAAATTGTCTTTGAGCGTCTAATCCGGTGCCTGGTGATAATACGCTCGTTTTTGTTTGAGCCTGCGCACCGAGTAAAGCGTACACGTAAGATCTGATCGATTCGTTGATCTTTATGATTCCCGCGGGGGTAAACGAACTCGTGTCGGGGATGAAGTCTAACCAAGCCATTTTGACGATGTCGTCTTGTTCGATGTAAATAATCGTGTAAGGAACGTAACTGTTTCCTCTCTTTTTAGGATCATCTAGACCGTGTAAGCCGCCGTAAAGAACGTTGGGTTTGTTGGGTAATGCTCTATCATATTCGCCAACCGCCAAAAACTTGCCTTTTTTAAAGCTGTACGAGGTACCCAAACCGTTAGATATTGTGTCTCTCGTCTGTTTAAAAGACTTGTTTTGATCTATGCCAAACAACAAACAGGTATCGTTAAATGCTCTATGATTATAACTGTTGTCTAGAACGTTAAATGTATCATCTCCCGGTAAAGGAGCGGCAAGGTCATATAGGATCTTTCTAACCGTAAAATATAAATGAAAGTTAAAGATGGCCCAAACGTAACGGTTGCTCGCGTTTAAAAGATCAAATCCAACACCGCAGCCCGTAGTAGCGCAATAGATCGCAAAATTTAACTGATTTTGATAAAACGACATGGGGTGTGATTTCCAACGATCTACATCCTCATCCGTCTCAACGTGAGGCAATTTATAGTCTGAGGTTAAGTCGGGAAACGAGCTTAAAAAGCCGTTGGTATTATTAACTATAACTTCCAGTTCACTGGGTTTAGTGCTGTTTAAAAACTTTGCTTGGGACGCAGCTTGATGCTTTGGCTCGGTTGCCTTGGCTACATTTTGATTTACTTGTCTCGTTACCTGATCAGCTATCGATTGTATCTGCTTTTTTAACAACATAAAAGCAGCCATTATTTTAGTTTCAGTTTTAATATAAAAAGACTTTAAAATAAATGCATTCGTTTCACTTGTTTCAAAATGAGCAGACGTTTAAATTAGAAGACGTCGTAGATAATTTAAACGGTCAAAAATCTGTACGCGTAAAAAGGGTGATGTTTAACCCCGGATATTTTAATATTTCCAGCGCCACAGAGATTGATTGGTATACGCAAATAGATGGGAGACCCGCTGAAAGACCTGATGATGTTATAAGACCCGAACGGGTTAACCCAGATGTAGAAATAAGAACAGATAGAGATTTTATTGAATCGTTGGTACCCGAGTACCCCTACGACTTTTTAATAAACGACGAAAATACTTTCAATAGAGTTATAAACGATCTTATAGAAGCGTACGAAGAAGATAGACTAGACTCTGGTTTAGAATCCACCCAAGAAGAAATGGATCAAATTATAGATGTTATAAGACTTTTAAGCTATAAAAGACAAACCAAAACACTAACCGACGTACAACACAATACGATTATATTTTTAAATACAACTTTATTTGAAAAAAGAGGCTTCATCTATTCAGGTAAAAAGATAGCGCTAGAATATATCGAAGGTATAATAAGCGAATCTAGAGCGAGAGTAATTAGAAATGCTGGGATAACAATACGTGGGAGTCTTGTCGTGTCTGGTGATAATTTAGATTTTATTTCTCCGAGTCTTTTAGCGCCGTTACCAGCTGGAGTCACCGGCTCGGTCACCATCCCACCTGGGTGGTACGACGTCGATTGGTTCGATTTCATTTTAAATTATATACCCGGGGTAAGTTTTCGAATATTTAGAGAATCTAAAAAGGTGACGTTGGTTGTAACCGACGTCAATCTCAAATTGCGTTTAAACAGAGAAGTCTCTCGATTACTCAATTTACCCAAAGGAAGACTGATACCCAAAGTGGTATATACGGGGTCTTACGACATTCATCCGTTTAAATTTTTGTTTATTCGCTGCCCGCAATTAAGTACGAGTGAAAACTTTTTTGATGGCCGTCCGTCTGACATCTTAAAAATCGTACCCGTGGGTACGCGCGAACCCGAGCCTGATAGAGTCGAGGATTTCAAGAAACTTAAAAACGGTATAATCGACAAACTGACATTTTCAATCATAGGTGAAAAAGGACAGATCATCAACAACAAGGGTGTGAGTATAATGATAGAGTTAGAGATCTTTTAATTTTAAAATCTTTTTATATTAAAAACATGAGTGTAGATGGTAAGGCGTTATACCCCGATATTTCTGGAGATGTACTCCGATTAAATAGTAACGAAGAAACAAAAGTATACAGACTAAAAAAGATTGAAGAGATTCGATCTTTAATCTTAAAAGAGAGAGACCACCGAGAGCACACTTATAAAAAAATAAAGAGAGTGATCGACACTATTAATTACGTAGAGATAGGATTAGAAGGATTGGGGGCTATAGCGGGGGCTGTCGGTATTCCCGCTCTCTTGGGTGTTATATCAGCCCCCGTTGGATTGGTGCTAGAAGGAACGTTTATAGGCGCTTTTGGTGTAGATATTCTGCTTAGAATCGCGTCTAGGCGATTATCCGCCAAGCTAAAAAAGCACGACCAGATTAAGATATTAGCAGACTCCAAACTTAACACGATTGAAGAATACGTGTCTCAAGCCATCAACGACGGAGATATATCACACGAAGAGTTCTTATTGATTACGAGAGAGCTCGCAAAATTTAACGAGCTTAAACAAAAAATCAGAACAAAGACCAGCACAAAGCTTCAAAAAATTAAAAACGATACAGACTTTGAAAAAGAAGTTAAAAAACGGGTAGATGAACGGCTGGCAAAAGAAAAAAAATCTCTTATCGAAAAACTTACAAGTTCAAATTCTCGGTAAATAAACATTATGAAAGCGAACCACCGAGTTATACCTCTATTTCACCTCTTAGGGTGTTACCCTCGGCCCCGCCTTTATTGTAGTGGTCATCGTATATTTTTAGTGCTTTATTAAATTGATTTTGAGTCACTTTAAATAAATCTCTAACTCGTTCTTTGTCTAATCCAACGACGTGATGATAACACGCCGCTATTAATGACCGTTTGACGCAACCATTCCCCCTCAATGTTTTGTAATTAACGAGCTCGTTATATTTATTGATTGTTTCTTGGACATCTTCTAAGTCTTGCTCTGGACAAACAGACAAAATAAGTTTCTCCACAGTTTTTCTTTTGTTTCTCTTTAAAGTTGACCAATTGATACGATCTTCTTGCGCATTTTCTGCCGAAAAATCAAAATAACGTGAAACTATTTCACCGCACGTTTCACAAATTAAAAAACCATTCTCGATGATTATATGATGATCGCACTTATCCCCAAGTTGTGACGTCCCAAAGTATTCCATCTATTTAATAAAAACCGATATTATTTTTTATTAATTTTTCAAATACTCGTCGGTCTAAACATATTACTCTCCATTTTTATATTAAAAAACAGCTCCTCACCTTTTACAGGGTAAGGAGCTAATTTTTTTCTTTCTCTCACTCTCTCTCCGTTAGATTTTTTTTTTTTTTTATTTTTTCTTGAGATCGGGGGATTTCCCATTGGCCCTGTACTACCCACAGACCTATGACAAAGTCTGGTACCCAGACTTCTCATTAATGGCCCTGTACTACCCACAGACCTATGACAAAAGTCCAGCACCCCCGCCTCCCTTACTACTCAAAAAAACCCTACAAACTAAGCCTAAATGTGAAAATCAAAATTTGGCTCCGTCGACACGATTTTTGTACATGTGGATGTGTGGCCTATGTTTACGGAGGCAGTCCAGTAAATAGGCCACATTTATGGGGCTAGGCCTAGCTAGGCTATGCGGTAAGTATTAATTATGTACATGTAGGTAGGCACCCAATTGAATTAGGAGGACCCCATTCCTGGTCCCATGGGCGTCACCAGGAATCTTTTTTTGGGGGGGGGGGGGGGGGGCATATGGGGGGGGGGGGAGGGCAAAGCAGAATTTTCCCCAAAATTCCTTAACTTTTTCATTATATTCTCATTTTTTTATATGTCGAGCCTGAGCACTATAAGCAGGAGAGCATTTGCCCTACCCACCCCCCATCAAATTAAAAGCAATATCATGGCTTCGCACCTCTTTTCCCTTTTTTTTTCTTCAAAAAGACAGTTTTATTAAACTGTAATGTTTCAGGATTTAATTAGCCTACCAGTACCATGCCTATCATTACTAGTTGGCGATGGATACATAGTTTTTTTACATTTACTTTATGAGACTGGTCAAAAACAAAATTCTGCTTCCGATTACGTGGCATTTGGAAATAAGGTAGGTGGCCTATGTATGGAATTTTTTTGGGGGGGAGGGGGGCAGGGGGGCACTTGTTTTTGTACAATCACATGAAGACATCTGTGTGTAGTCAAGGGTACAAGGTAGTAAATTGATGTTTTTTGGTGTATTTTTCCCCATAAAAAAATTAGGGTAGGGGCTGTCAGGGTAGGTAGGGAAACCGGAAGCAGAACTCTTTTCTTGGGGGGCCTTAGGACTTTAGGAAACTATGTGTTCAGTACGTACATTGTCGATGTTGCTGCATGGGATGTGTCCAGTGATTCCCCCACCCCCCATGCGGGGGGGGGGGGGGGGATACAGTATACGGTAGGTACACCCCTAAATAGTAGAGTCCATTACAATGAGTTACTTTTTCTGTAGGAAAAGAATCAAAGCTGTCTCTCATGGAAAGTTATAACTGACTAACTTTTAAAAGAGTGAACTGTTGTTTAACTCTGTCTTTCTGTGAATCGTTTGTTTTTGTTTTTAGCGTGAAGCCCGTGCTGAGATGCGTGAAGCCCGTCTCGAGACTAAAGCCGCGCATGCTGCCATGCATGGAAATGTCGTTAGGGCCACTAGGCTTCAGGTAAAATCACAAAATATCAAACCTTTTTAAGGCGATTGTGTGGTTATGGGCCCCATTCCTACATGTCATATAAGAGAACAAAAAACTACTTTTAGGTTAATGAACTCACCAAAGTAGTTTGATGTCTAAAGTAAATCCAACAGCAATGTCATGGATTGAGATGAAGATGGTGAAGACGCCAAAACGCAACCAGGAAATATACTGTAGTGTTGACAGATACTGTTCAAAGTTACAAAAAAATAAGGTCATTAGAATTAAAAGAAGGCTGCTCAAGTCTTTTTGGAATAATAAATACTCTTGTCTAAAAATGAAACGAAAGAGGGGCCAATAACTACACAATCCCCTTTTCAACTCACTGAATTAACACCTTTCAATTTCACTGTGATCCTGGTAGTATTTGATAAGAAAAACAAGTTATAAGGAAGACAAAGTGGTTTCACTTTTGCAATGTGTCATTTGTTCTGACAACTGATGTGTGTACCCAGACTTGGGACCTGGAGTGCTCTGAAACGTGCACAACTAAATCAGGACAACTTTACTCACTATTTACCCAGCAAATTTCTCAAAATCCATTGGGCAAAGAAATGGTCCTCAGTATTTCACCAACCAAGTTTGCAGACTCAATTCAATTTTAAAAGGAGACATTTCTGCAATGTTTTGTGATTTCATAATGAGGCTAAAGACTTGGACAGGAACATGTCCAACCATGGTCCAACTATTTGTAAAGACTGATGGCTTCATTCAGTGTCATTATCTGGTGGCTGAAATGCCTTTTACACAGGCTAGTCACCAACAGTCGGAATATATTTCAAGCAAGCACTGTGACTAGTCAAATTCAGTCAACGGACAAAAACCAGGCAATCAGTGGGCACAGCTGGCTTATCAATCACGTTTGTGTACTGTCAAAGCATATATCAAGTTACATAAACAGTCACAGCCAGTCAATCCTGCTTTAGAGGCTAGAAGCTCTTAACTGTTGTCACTTGATTGACTTTGAATGAAAGGGCAACTTGGAACAGATGTTTGCATAGGAGGGTGAAAGTTAGAATCAGCATACATTGTGCAGGAAGCCATCAAGGCAATCGGAAGCCCGCAGTAACTTTATTTCTGAAAAACCTTCAAAAATGAAGGATTTTGAAGTATCTGGGTTAGTTGAGCTGAGTCAATCAGAATCAGATATATTTCCAGAGATGCTTCAGACTTTTGTCTGAAATCAGGCCTTTTGGATTTGGGAGAAAGACAATATCATTATCGGCAATGCAAAAATGCAGATAAAATTTCATTCAATTTTCAGATTTTTTAATTAACAAGCTCATTGTTAACTTTCAGTCCGACAGAAATTGTTCAAAGTGTAAAAAACGGTTCTGCGGTTCTACATGTTCTAGTTCTCCGTTTCTTCATTTTAAAAAAATCAAAAATGAAATTTCCAGTAGTTTTAAGACTAATTATGTAAAAAGGGGCTTTGAAAAGCAAAAAAAAATGATTTGGAAATTTGAATAGCCAAAATTTGTGTAAGTTGTAACAGAATGTAGTGTAGTACTAACACAGTGTGCATAGTTGTTTGGAAAGAAGTGGCATGTTGCAACGGTGCGTTTTAGTCATAGTAACATGTACGTCAGCAGCCATTTTAACAATTATGAATGTGAACTTTAGTCCTCATATGTACCAGTATGCCGGTATTGACAGTCAAATTACCCACGGCATGGAGCAATGCAAAAGTAAACAAACGGGCTACCCGTACATTGTCCAATATGACTGTTTACAAAAGAATGCACTCTATGCAGAACTTGGTGTGTTAGCATTGAATAATAACAGTGCATACACATTTTCAAGCAGCACAGTCAAGACAGTTGAAAATATCCTGTTTTTCTATTTAACTTGGCTTCAGCTGAAATAGGCCTACTCAATTATTGCAACTCACAATGGTGCATTTGAAGCTTTTGGACTGTTTGTTCTCAGATTTTCTGAGCTGTATGAAATACATTTGGACTATGTACGGTACATGTAATACATTAAATTTGGACTAACCTTAAAATTGGCATTATTTGTTTCTCACCACAAAAATCTGGGGGGATGGAAATCTGTCTCTCGTTAAAATGCACCTAAGCGTGACATTTTTTATGGTTTTCCATGTATAGCCTGATATTCATTTATCAAATTCAACAAAAATGACATTCAAGACCGTTCTTTTTCATTGTTTGAGAAGTAACTAAGTGATTTGGTTACGGGTACGCGATCCCACAATCTGAAACCAGTTCCCGACATCAGCGTTGGGGTACTTGGCTACCCGGTTTCCCTAACAATGCCAGTTTGGGCCAGTTTGTAAAGAAATGTCTGATCAGTCACAAACAGAATCATCTATTTTGCTTAATAAATACAAGAGTTTTGTTTTCTGTGTCATCATATCCAGATGAAAGCAAACATTGCCCATAATAAAGCAGAACGTGAACACCATATTGCCAACGCCTTGAGTCATCATCATCATCATCATCACCCTCCACCGGCCACAGTGGTGGTCCATGTAAGTCTGTCAACCGAAAGATTGATCTGTTAAATCCATTCCCATGAGGATATGACCGAACGCAGACATGACTGCGAGGCAGACAAAAATCTGATATGCATTCACTTACAGGTCACTTACAGTGCTTAGGTCAGTGAGAAACCGTGTGATTCTCGTGGAACAAGCAACATCTTGACACAAAATAAGCAATTATGCCCACATTACCCACGACGCGACAACAATTCCTTGGCATAGACGTGATTATGTAACATCTTCAGTATGCCAGTGTGCGTGTTGATAACAATTGAACCATCTTCTGCGTCCATGTCTGGTGGATTGCTACCCTCCTGTTCAGCTGCGGAAAAAAATGCTTACAAAAAATTTTGATACCAGTAAAATTGGAACCAACATAAATAAAATTGACTCAAAGTTCCTTAAGGGTGCAGGCTGGTAAGTAGGCCCGAAATTGCCTTCGCTGGCCAAATCATGATTTGCATGCCCTCAAATTCTCCCGTAATAAAGCATTTTGAGGCGTTGAACTTAAGGATTTGTAATAAAGACGGGTGGAAGCCGTACAGAGGACTGCAAGCTCTTATTTCTGTGAAAATTTGAATGAAATCATACAATGGCTTTATGTTGCAATGGAGCATAGGCGTTCTCTTTGAAAATGGTGATGTCCTTCTGCAGTGGACTGCTTTTAGGGATGTTCATCTTTGGAAGAAAATTTCTCCTAAATGTTACTAGTCAACCCCCTAAAACTTGAACGGAAACTGAAAGATGATCAAATATGCTTTAATTTGATGTTTGTTTCAAACATGTTGGAGAGTTGTGAGTATTTTTAATAATTTGGGGAAGTGCAATCACTGAGGTTTATGGCAGTCTATTTACCCGTGTGCAACCCTAAATGTATTCTCAAATTGCCTTGGAATGGGGAGGGGGATTGCCCCAGACCCATATAGGAGGGGCACACCTTTACTCACCTTTACCCCCACTTCTTGATGTGTTTCCTGAAAGCTAGATCCTTCCCTTCTTATAGTTTTGTCTGTTTTATGTATTTTTGAATTCAGCACGTTGTCGATCACACTCCTCCTGTGAACTACCAGGTTGGCTCAGTTGCCCCACCGCCAGCTCAGCCACCACCAGCTTATCAACGTGCGTATCTTAATTAACTTGCCTCTTTCTGTGTTGTGTTAACACTGCATATTAGTCAGGTGGCTTAGATCTAATTTTCGTCAAGATCGTGACCGACTGGTCCAAAGCACCAAACTTGGCAGATATATTCTTATAAACCTAGAGAAGATATTTAGAAGGGGTGACACCTGAAATTCTTTTATGCAAATTAGGCACCCTTCCCAAAAGAATTTCAGGTGTCACCCCTTCTTAATATCTTCTCTAGGGCTATAAGAATCTATCTGCCAAGTTTGGTGCTTTGGACCAGTCGGTCACGATTCCGACCATATGCCACCTGACTATATGAAATCACGTCCACGTTATTGGAATCTGAGTCAATTCAACATTTATGGACATACATATACAGGTACATGTACTTGTACCTTGCTAAATATTCACACAGGGATATAAGTAAATAGCCATCATTGATTGGTTAGCCTGAAGGTTCAATTTATTTGATATTTGTTTCTTTTTTTTCCAGCTGCTGCCAACCCATACCCAGCAGCACCCAGCTACCCAGCTGCACCCAGCTACCCAACAGCACCCAGTTACCCAGCAGAACCCAGTTACCCAGCAGCACCCACCGGGTACCCAACTCAGCCAGCATACCCAGCTGCACCGACTGACCCTGCTTACCCTGGAGACACTAAATACCCAAACCCCTATCAGTAAAGTCAGTAGCCCAGTGCCAGTAAGCTGCATTTTCCCAATTACCCAGCAGCGCCCACCAGGTACCCAGCTGCACCCAGTAACCCAGCACAGCCAGCATACCCACGCATGCAGGCTTACCCATCAAAACCCACTGCATGCCCAAACCTCTACATGTTACACCCTTTTAAGATTGGCATTCCAGAGTCACTTTGAAAGAAATTATACCGAAGAATTGACTTTTAACCACATGTACCTGAATAATTTAAGAGACCAGGTGAAAAGATCGGCTGTTGCAGTCAAGTTTTGGTGACCAGTTGGTCAACTAACTGAGAATGATCTGAATTCTGCATCCATTTTCTGGTCTTTTGATTTTCGTTTTAAGAAAAAAAATACTGAAATAGTTGTTCACGTTTCCCCCTTTGTGTTTCAAGGCGGAAATGGTTTATATATATATATATAGCTCAGTAAATGAAGTGTAGATGTAAAAGTGGTTCACTTTTCTTTCGTTTTATTCCACAAAAAGAAGGTACATGTTTTTTTGAAATTACTTGTAAGAGTTAAAAACACGCTGCAGTGATATTTTTTTATCGAATTATATTTTCTCTTTTAGGTAAAACATTAAAAAATTGCATCATTGTATGAACTATTTAGAAATACACAAGTTTATTCGATAGTAGCATATAATTGTTTTACTAAAGTATTTGTGACTTTTAAATCATGCTTAAAATAGTTAAATGTTGGTGAATGATTTGTATTCTTTTGGTCAATGTCTTCAAAAGAGAATAAGTTTTGTATTTCTAACGCTTTAATAATTGATGAAATTTTACATTTTTCTCTGCGCTTCATGCTACGATTTTGGTTTTATTTTGTGAAATGGAGGCCATTCAAAGAGCTTTAATATGCTGTACAACTTGGCTTTGTAGGTGCTATAGATTTTGAGATAAATATTTAAACTAAGGAGGGCATGTTAATTAGTCAAAAGTTCGTTGACCCGTATCTCAAAAACTAACGAGCCAATTTACAACCAAAAAAAATCAGTTTGGGGGGTTTCTCATATAGGCCAATCATCACACCAAATATTCACTCTGTGAGGGTCGGGTCCAAAATCATGTTGAATTGACACGGAATGACCCGTAAATGTTGTATATAATAAAACAATGTTGATTACAAAATATAAATTGGTAAAAAATATGTACATGTAGGTACCAAATGAAAATATTTTTTTTTGTTAATAATTGTGAAAACTTTGAATATATATATAGATATTGATCAGTATGTGTCATATTTCAATATAGGAATCTATATTTTAACCTTGTGATTTGTAGGAAATCCCGGCTAAAGACATTAGTTATATTTTCTATTGTTTGTGACTGAAATATTGTACTGCTCTATACACAAATACTTGAACTAAATTGAATACATTAAGCCTTATTAAAACAAAAGCAGTCGGGTAAACTTTGCGTATTAATCACAGAGGTTGTTTTTCCCTATTGTAATAAATATACGCAGCCTCCTTTCACGCGTATTCGAAGCCAAACTTAGGCCAAGTAAACAAAAAATATATATCAAATTCCCGTCCCCCACACTTCCTTTTTCGCGGCCGCCTCTTTTTTTTAAATCATTTTCCTATTTTTTTTAGCAAGAAATGGTAGCTATGTTTGCAAAGTCTGCTGGAAAGGCCGTGACGGCTTCTTTGGACGAAAAACTAGTATCAACAAGAGTCGAATCCGCCATCTAAGAGACCCCCCCCCCAAAAAAAAGAGTCGCCTCCTTCCTTTTGACAATAGTCTGGGTGCCTATTCCCCGTGGCATAGTGACTTGGTATCATAAGGGTGTAACCCTGCAAATAAATTCGCATAGACACTAGCGCTAAATGCCCATACTTCAAAATTCTTTTAAAATTACTCAGAACTCTCACAGGTAGTCAAGCTGCACAGAAAAATGATAATCAACATGTCATCTTTCATTTTCTTTCCATTTTTTTGGTTGGTTGACGATTGACTTTTCGAGATATTCTCACCCAAAAAAGACGACCCCTATTTTCCCTTAAGCGGGAAAGTAGCCATCTTGATAAACGACCCCTCCACAACATGGCAAAATAGCGCCACTTTCGAGCAAAATAGCATCCAAAATGCTCAGAATGGGAAGCTCAAAGTCCGGGCCAGAGGTTAATGAATTTATTATCATATCTCTTCAACTTCCCCAATTTTACGGCGCTTAGAACTCTCTAATATAGAATATTTTGAGGGTACAACTTTTATTCATTAGCTCGGCGGATGGATTTAGGCCTATTAACCGGTGTGCACCCATAATATGACTGATCATCATGACTTGTGACATCATCATCATAGGACTGATCATAATCATCATGTGACCGATTATAGATCGGAATCAGGCGTGGCTTTTTCCCCTCAAGAGTCACAAAACTCCGTCACGTCCGTCGCGGTATGTCAAATAGAATCTCGTAGGTTTGAATACGTATTTTAGGGCCAGATGAAGTGTTTCGTAGGCACCACTATACTCCAAACAACAAGCACCGGCACCAATTTCATGTTGATGCTAAGCAAACCAGTCCAAACTGTGGCTCGAAAAGCCTGTTGACACACGGGTGATATGTTTCGTAGGCCCCGATTTTTTCGCAGGCCCTATAGGCACAGTGCCTACTGTGCCCATTGGATAATACGGGCCTGTTTGTTTTATATACATGTCAATACATCTGAGTTATCAAACTATATGGGTAACTAAATCACTAACATTATCTCACAAAGCTACGCAAACAATATACTGCAGGCTACTCAGACAAAGTTGAAGGCAAACAGTTAATAGGAACAAATACTAGACCTGCAGAGCGCAAGTTGTAAAAGTTTGTTTAAGTATAATAGCTTATATTAAGTATAATTGCTTTTTTTTTTATAACACATAGCTATTCTAACATAGATGTAGAATAAAACAAGCTCTATCGGAAATATCTCGGAAGCTGCGGGCCAACGAATTCGTGTTCATGCAAGAATCACGTGAAGGAGTTGTTTTGAGTAAAACAAAATAAGTTTTGTCCCCAGTTTATGTTACATAGGCCTAATATGGGCCCATGTACTGATACTTTTGACAAAGTCTGGTTGAAATCGGTCAAAAATGAGGAGCAATAATGTCAACGTTTGTTGCTATTTAACGGACTATAAAACAGAGAGACATGGTGATTTGTTGAGCTGCTATCACGCAGCTAAAAAAAAATAGTTAAGTACGCACTAGCACGTTAATTTAATTCATGAAATCTTCACAGGAGAAGTCTCTCACCTTTTTAACATTATAAGAAAAAGTTATTAGTATACAGGGTGAGGAAAAAAAAGCAGAAACCCAAATTAAAACGAAAACAATTCACATAGACCTGTGAGTGAATTGTTTTCATTTTGCTGAAACTGAAAGCAAAGAACGCACTCCTTTTTTTTGTGATCCGTGGACAGAACCTTAAAACGGTGGTTGTGTTTAAAATTCCGTAACTTGAAAATTGCACGAGTGATTTGAATGATTCTTGTACTAAAAGGAAGCTTATGAATTGGGCTTTTATATATCTTAGATTTTGAAAGTGCTAATTGGGTTTCTTTTTGTTTTACTCGCCTTGTAGTACAAATGACAAAATGATAGCACACTGTAGGCCCTGTTTATAAATAGGCCTGTGATATCATATTTATCAAAATTTACGAGGTCGAAGAAATGTCAAGTAATCATCAATCTACACTAAGGCTGCACATTGCAGCGGACTCAGTGGCGTAGCCAGTTTTCAGTGGGGGGGGGGGGGGGGGCGCTGGGGGGGGGGGCTGGAACATTTCATGGGGGGCGTCATGCAGGGGCGTCAATCGCTTGTCAAAAGTTGGGGGGGGGGACATACCTTGATCAGAACTGATGCGAGCGCGAAGCCCTTACAGACGTGGGGTTCGGGGCCCGCTTTAGGGCCCCGAAAACAAATTGGATTCTAGATTCTAGCCATTTCTTACCACTTTCCTCCATGCTTTAACTAATATTTTCTTAGCAAAAGATAATTATTTGAACATCGTTTTCGAGGTTGGAGTCATTGAATCAGCTATCAGTATTCTGAGCTATAGGCGTGGGCCGTGGGGTTCGGGGCCCGCTTAAGGGCCCCGAAAAAAATTGGATTCTCGATGCTCTGTGGTGTGATCTGAGGCAATTTCTTACCACTTTAACCAATAATTATTTTAGCACAAAAGCTAATAATTTAAACATAATTTTCGAGGTTTTCTCAGCTAAAGGCATAAGAAATTTTTTGAACATTGTTTTCGGGGTTGGAGTCATTGAATCAGCTACCAGAATTCTGAGCTATAGGCGTGGGGTTCGGGGCCCGCTTAAGGGCCCCGAAAATTTTTGAATTCTAAATGCTCTGTGGTGCTATCTGAGGCAATTTCTCACCACTTTAAATATTTTCTAAGCAAAAGATACATTGTAGTACATAATAGGGCCCTGTAAATGAGACACGAGTACAAAAATCGGGGGGGGGGGGCATTTGATATTGTGTCCCCCACCCTTCAAAAAGGGGGGGGGGGACATGTCAAACTCAAAAATCTCAGTGGGGGGGTGGGGGGGGCAACTGGGGGGCGACAAGGTTTCATGGGGGGCTGTCGCCCCCCCCCCCACGCACCACCCCCCCCCCCCCCCCCCCCCCGTGGCTACGCCTCTGAGCGGACTGAAGCTATTTTAATGATGAACATTCAAGAATTTAAAGTATAATAAAACTGAGCACCGTATAAACGTAGGCCGTGCGAAGGCTTTGGAAATTTAGCCTACCGAAGTTTATACTTACGTTTTAACAATATTTGTTTGTATGATACTCCAAAATATGAGGATTTGTATCATAGAACATACTATACGTATTTTTGGTATTATTATGGCCGACAAATATCAAATGATAGTAAAAATTATAACTGTAGATATAGGCTTATATAGGCCTACAGTTTTAAAATTCTAACTTCTTGAAGGCATTTGGCAATTCGGAAGCTTAGAAGATATGCCCATGTTGAAGAAATTCTAGAGATCCATTTTTGTTGAAGTTGGAAATAAGGTATAATACGTTTTTCCCAAGAGAATAATGGTTTTAAAAGGAACAGAGATTATAAGCGAATTGTTCACTTGATTTATAAATACATTAAAGTGTACGCGTATACGGTAGTTGCACTTTTAGTGAGCAACGACCCTTAGGCTTGAACTTATTAATCAAAGTAAAGTTTTCGATGATCGCGATTCAGACACGTTTTGCGGACAAAATTGTGTAGACCAGTAACGTCATGTGCGTGGACGATTGAGTCAATATGATGTAATCCTTAATCCCACGGTGTCCCCCCCCCCCAAAAAAAAAAAAAAAAAAAAATGTTGGCCGAATTTATCACGTCGTATGACTCATTTTGATCCATCATTGCATCATTGCATCATTTCGATCCATCATGCAGTTTACCCAAGAGATTAATATCCAATGTCCAACGTGGCATATTGTACAACCGATTACATGTATACTCTTTCTAGTCTCATACATCAATATAATAGCCTTTCGCCAAGACGGTCAGCTGCGAAGCTGCAAAATGGCCAAACGACTGGAGCGAAGACCAATCTAGCCTATGCTCTCCGTTCCAGTTCAGTTTAATAATGCAAATAATAATGGCGTTAAGCCACGATGGCGGCCTTGACGAAAGGCTACATTATATCTGAACTGACTACAATCGGAGCATCAACACGAACAGTCCTACAGTATACATGTACGTAGGTCAGTTGCAGTACTTGGACCTGCACTACACTAACTGGCAATTATTACAACAACATGGACGCGGCAGACTCGGCAACACCTGCAGTTGGGGAGGGCTGGCAACCGCCTCTATTTAGCACATCAACATGGCTTCTGATCATCACAGCCTGTGTTCTCCTATTTGTGTAGGTTGAATATTTTGAAATATACGATAGCTCCATGTTGGGCCGCGCGTGCGATCGAAATGGGCCTGTGTACGTGTGGCTTTCAAAGTTTCATTTGTATAGTAGTGCCTGCATGTGTAATTGTAGCTGATGGTTCCGGTTGTCAAATACATGTTTGTTTGGTTTGATGACTTTGATCATGTAGCTCCATGGTTTGATACAGTACATCAGTACGCACCTGTATGCGTGTGTGATACATTGTATATGCCCATGTCCTCGGCATACATGTAGGCATTCAAAAAGCACCTGTACGTACCTGTAGTACTAAATACAATGAAATCGTCCTGATCCTATACCTCCATGTATGTGTGCGGCAACCAGCTGCTGAGCCTATCACGCCCCCAAAGGGTGGACAGGTCTTTTTTCACCGGACACCTGGCCTCTGTACAATATGCAAGGGCGTCAATCACTTTTTAAAAGTGGGGGGGGGGGGGGCATTTTGTTGGCCGGAACTTATGCGAAGCGCCAAGCCATAACGGCGTGGGGTTCGGGGCCCGCCTAAGGGCCCCTACATTTTTTGGAATCTAGACGCTCTGTGGTGCGATCTGAGGCAATTTCTGATCACTTTAACGAATTTTGTGAGCAAAAGATCATAATTTAAACATAATTTTTAAGTTTCTGAGCTATTGAATCATATTATGTATGTAGGCTATTTTGTTGGAGGGGGACAAAAAAATTGTGAGGGGGGGGGGGACAAACGATATGATATCCCCAACTTGCCCCCCCCCCCCGTCTCCCACCGATTGACGCCCATGGTAATATGAAAAAGGTAGAGGAAGGCTTTATATTAGGTGATCGTGACTTCTTCAGCCTAAAGCAGAGTTCTATCACTTCTATTAAGGTCAAAAGAAAAGTCTCTGGTTTCTGGTCTGCGCGCGCGTCGCCGTAGCCATGCGCGTCGGCAAAATTAAAAATATATTTTTTTTTCAATGTGAGATGATGTCTCAAAACCGCCAAACCGACTGGTTTGATTGGAATCCTGCTGCTGCACAATACATTTTAACGATGATGCGACCGCGAATTCAATTGACATCACGGCAAGTTTTCACACTGCTGTTTTGCAAAAGTTGAGCGCATTTCAACTCCGGCGAATTTTGCTGCGAATGTCTCGATCATGACGTCAAATTCGCTTCTTATTTGCGCATATTCGCGTAATATTATGTTACAATCGATCGAGCCCGCCCCGGGTGACAGGCGAAGTGAACGATGAAGCCGGTATCTCAGACTTACTGACCAATATTGCTTTAAAACACGAGAAAGACGATCCAGTTACATGTACAATGGGGAGTCGACAGCCAGTTCAAATTTAACAAATAAGCAAACGCCAAAACGAATTTGTGACGTCAGGGTAAGTTTTCGCGCTGCGATTTTGCAAAAATATGAACACATCTCATGTCAACTCCGGTGAATTTCGCGTTATGAACCGGCCTTTATTATACCTGTGAAAGAACCACTAAATCGTAGCATCGATTTAAAACAAAATCAACATGTTGATCCTTATTGACAGCTACGATTACTGGAGCCATCATTACCTGGCAAGATTGGGTATTCCTGGAGGAAGCTCGAAGCCGTTTATCGGTAACACCCTGGACTTCTTTTTCAACAAAGAAGTGAGTGAAGTTATGCACTTCAATGTCAAAGCCTGCAGAGAATAATGATAAAACTGGTTTGCCTTTTACTAGGATTGATGAGGGACAAGAGACCAACTTAACATTATATGGGAAATGATAAAGCAGTGCCTTCTTGGTCTGAATGAGGAATTCCAAAATAGGGGGGGGGGGGCGCTTTGCAAAACCGGCCATTATGCAAGCGACGCATTATGTGCCCATTTTCAGAGATTTCTGATATGAACAAGGAATATGAAAACCAAGCCCCAAAACTCTTACAAATTGTAGTTGTAATACAATGCGTATTGCAACTACAATTTGTAAGAGTTTTGGGGCTTGGTAGAATGAAAAAAAACCCAATGAAATGGTTACTGTAATAACCAATAACAGTATGAAGTTGAAAATTTGCAACCGTTTCAGGGAATACAAGGCTACCATGAGAAGTGCTTTGCCCGCTACGGAAAATTATTCGGGTAGGTTATGCATAATGCAGGTTCATGATTTTTTTTCTGTGTGACTTTATCTATCTCTGTGCAAATTATGCAAATGAGCTTAACGGTCCCATATTACCTGCACGTACCTTATATACAACTGACATTCATGACCGTATACGTGTTGGTATCACGGGTAGTGCAGCTTTTTAAACAAAGAAAGAAACTCTAAGTTTTTCTCGAGTAGATAATGGTTCCTCAATCTCCACTATTATGAACTCGAGGCGACTTAATGAAGAAACAAACATACATCAGAAATCCCTCTTTGAAAACAATAGGCGGCCTATGAAATAATGAACACAAACATTTGGAAGATTGATCATATGAGTTTCTCAAAACCCAAACAGTCTTAAAGTGAATCCTCTTTTCCACATATATCCGAATTATAGCTCTTAAACATTGTCTCTTCTGTCAATATACAAGTTGTATCATATCATTGAAAAATCTTACTTTGGTTTGTTTCATGTATTCCTCGATATTATCGCCCGTTGATATGACATTATTTCTTGTAGTTTTTATCTGGGCTGGCGCCCTGGAGTGGTGACTGCAGATGTCGATCTGGTCCGATTATTGTGCATCAAGGATTTTGCCAGTTTCACAAATCGGAGGGTGAGTAAACGCACTAGAAAGTCACTTCTGCACCAACATTGTGAAAAAAAGGTGCCTTTTTTTTGGAGATAAGATAAAATCGAAGGGCGCTATTTGGTTTAGCTATTACAATTTGGCGAACTTCAAAACCAAATCAGATAGTGCCGTCAATTGTGTCCACCATGTCTAAAATGTTTTTATTATTTCCTCCAAAATGGCCGCCAGACCGGGCGATTTTTCAAAATGGCTGCATGCCAGTTTTTTTTTTTAAATGGCCACCACTTGGACACAGGAAATGGCATGTCAGCTTTATATGGGCTAGATGCAACAGACGAAGAGGCCAAAATAATGCCAATGTTAAAAATTAATCATTTTTTTCGGTTAAAAAAAAGGGAAAAAAGGAGGCTGCCTCCAAAAAGGAAGCGGGCGGGGACGCTAATTTTTGTTTTTTTATTTGGCCTTATGACACGTGGTGGGTGATTCGTTTCAAAGACATGTCTGTAAAATAACCACAATCCCATTAGGGATTTATACTTAAAAAAAAGTTGTTCAATAACAAATTGCATTGTTATAGCGTGTCTTCGATACTGTAATTTCATTAGTCTCGAACGGCCACATTATCTAGTCCATAAAAATAACCGTTTACTTCATATACACTGCGTTGTGTATGTATGTATGTAAATTACCTCATAATTATGTACTTGCGTTGCACAATTATTGTTTATGCTGCTGCATGTGATGTGGCGTTTTAACCACCTCGTGGTACATAGCACTCCGGCTTAGCCTAAGGTGCTATATATGCGTCCCTCAGGTGTTAAAAATGCCATATCCCACACCAAATTTTCCTTATGAACATTTGTTTTGGTAACTCCTCGATTCAATGCATGAGGGGAACGCTGAGGCCGGGTCCCGTACTTGCTTCGAAACTCGTCTGTACGCCCTGCAATTTGTCGAAATTTCAAGCACGGAAATTACTTCCATATTACTAATTACGGGAAATGTGTAATTTGGGAGACGTTCCCAAAGACTTGTGCGCCCAACCTTTCCGTCTTTAATGTCACATAATCCCAATTTTACCTTATCCTACCCCCACGAATTTCGGTATATGAATTGGACGACAAGCAATCGATCAAGCAAAATGTTGCCTCCAAATATAGGAGCTGTGACATTACGGAGACATTGAAATGTCTTCCTAATGTCCGGTGTCTCCCTAAGGTACCATCATTAACAGGTATACTTATTATTTGTTGGCACATCAGAGGCAGCCGATTGACAACAAGCCATTTCACAAGGCTTTGCCTGACCTGAGAGATGACCATTGGAAGGACGTGCGGGGAATCCTCAGTCCAACATTCAGCGGCTCCAAGATGAAGCTGGTAAGTTGTCGGGTCAAAAGTTGAGTATTTCTGGCCCGGTGAGGACCAGACTAGAGTCATCTTCGTTCTTCAGTGACACATTGACTATCACTTGTGAACCAGACTAGTATATTTTAATATACATAAAGTTGTATATGTCTAAACAAAATAATTGTTTGTACTGGAAAGGTTACATTATTTTCGTGATCCTTTGTTCTGACATAAAAATATCCAAAACTAGGCAGGTTTTAATAAAATAGTTGCTTGCCCCACCACTCTGCGTTTGTACTTGACAAACGCGAACATCTAGTTTGTTGCGAGATTACCACACTCTGTCAAACAGATGTTTTGTGAACTCTCTTAGAGATTTGTAAAAAGTGCGTGATGATCTTTGCTTTGTCCTGTTCAGATGGCGCCACTCATCAACGATTGCCTCGATCCTATGATCAGGAAAGTTGCTAAACACCACGAAGAAGGCAAGAGTTTACAGATGAAAGAGTAAGTTGACTGTTCTAGAATCACATAAATGAATGTACGGTATTTATGTATGTATAAATAATGATTTTTCCCCAGGTACCTTTGTCAAAGACAATAAGAAAAATCAATTTTCTCCTTAGTGTAGCTGGGCCAAAGTACTTCCTTCATGTCCTGACACTCACTTTTGGTTTCTTGTCTATACTTTTTGTACATTTTGGATCAATTCTTGTCTCTTTAAACCAACTCTCTACATGAAAGTCTAGTGAGTTTTATTAAAGTGAAGTTTAATTTGGGAATGTTTGAGACCATTTTGTCTTAAGTTCCCAAATCACGCTGGGGTAAAAATAACCCAAACGCTAGGAACGCAGTATGACAGTGACACAGCTCAGGTCAATAGACCCTGTGCGCGGAGGAGGCGGTTTTAAATTGAAATGCAGTGACAATGAAAGTAATTTTCAAATCTATTCATGCGGATCACAGACTGAGGAACAAAGGCCCGTCCCCACTGAGGGCGCACAATGCAAGGGCTCTTTTTATTCGTCACTAACTTACTGTGGGTTTATTGGGCTCTCCTTCGTTCCAGTATATATGGTGGATATCTGATTGATGCTATCGGCAACTGCGCTTTCGGTCTGACTCTCAACTCGCAGGAAACTGAAAACGATCCCTTTCTCTTCAACGCCAAAGACATATTCAATTTTAAATTTAACTTCACGATCTTCGTTATAGGTAAGTACAATCTACGCCAATACAGTGCCAGATAATGAGGACGTAACTGTATTTGCAAAATTAATAGTATTGTACGTCAGTTCTGTGACTAATAGAGTTGTGAAGCACAGATATACTGCTTAAAGGGAAGATACAACATTTGCAAACATCAAAAAACGAAATGATCCAATTATCACGAAATACCTTACTGGATTGTTAGGGAATGACAGTCTAAAACATCCTGTAAAATTGTGGCTCCTGGTGTGCTGACATTTTCAAGAAATATTGTATTTTTCCAACGCTGGTCGGCCGACCAGCGCTGGAGAAAACTGGCTATTTTCAAAAACTACTCCATATTTCTTATATTTAGTTATTCCACATTTTCTTTGCAATTGATTACTCACCTGTGAACGGGTACAAGCCAGCTAAATTGATACTCTGACCGTACAATTCCCCAAAGTCTAAGTGGGGTCAGGGAACCAGACTACAAGAATATTACTGTTTTTGGGGGTTTTTTCCAGCATCTACAAGCCAAAAACGTAAAACAAGTCAGTTTAACAATATTTGCTAAAACATATAAATCCTCCAAATGTACTTAATTCTGAAAATTGCAGCAAAAGCCAATGTTGTGCATTCCCTTTAACAGGAAATATTTGCTAGACAAAAAAAAAGCTATCCAAAAACATATCGGATGATATAGAATTTTCGAGCATTGGTAATGTTATCTGCATACTCAGTAGCTCCACGAAACTGTGTCTTGAATTTGTAAGCAAGCCGACCTGGGGGGGGGGGGGGGAGCAGGAGGGGCACTTGCCCCCCCCCCAGATTTTTCACGGCCAAGAAAAGTGCCCCTCTCGTGGTTATTAATTTGCCCCCTCGAAATAAAAACAAAATTGCCCCTCAAACGCACACATGAAAGCATACGATCGCACTATAAATAAAATTGTCTCCTCTGTTGTTATGGAAAACTGCCCCTCAAAACACAAATGCCCCTCTCGCATTAACAAGATTGTGCACCTTCTCGAGATGGAAAACTACCCCTCGAAAGGACAAATACCCCTGTGGCAATAATCAAATTGTGCCCCTCTCCAGATGGAAAATTGGCCATCAAAACAATAGTGCATCTCGCGATAACTTCTCGAGATGTAAATGACAGTGCCCCTCGAATGCACAATTTTATTACTGCCCGGCTCGCAACATTAAAATTGTGCCCCTGTCATGGAAAACCAGCCTTTTAAAAAAAATTATAGTAAAAGTACTCCTCCTCACCCAAAAAAAATGCTCACTGAGCTGGTCATCAAAAGCAACAGTGCCCCTCTCGCGATAAAAACATGGTCTCTCTACATAATTTGTCAATTCATGGGCGGACCCAGACAGGTTACTGCCGAAGTCGGGGGCGGAGGGTGTGCGGTGAGCCCGAGGTCTAAGGGCGGATCCAAGGGGTGGGGGCAGTGGGGCCATTTCTCCCCCCCCCCCCCAACAAAAAAAACCACGAATCTATTTTTTTTTAGTGACGTCACAAAAAAAAGGCCAAAGATGGCGATTTCCGCCGTGAAACAATCGATGAGGAACGCCGAAAGGCCGCTTCATACTTCGAATGTGGATGCGAACGCGAAGAGAAAAACGTCGGAAAGCATTCGCTGCGAAATTCACCGGAGTAATGTGTTTTAACTTTTGCAAATTCACAACGCAAATACTTGCCGTGACTTCATAAATTCGCAAATTGCATTTGCTTTCTCATTGAGTAATCACCAGCCCAAACGGCAAGCACTGCTGGGCAGTATGATTGCATCATCTGCATACTGTTTTTGTTTTCCTGTAGTGTTTTTACCATTCCTGGCTCCCGTGCTGAACTATTTCGGTGCGACTACCTTCAGACGGTCAACTATGAATTTCTTTGAGAACATCATGGACCAGGCAGTGGAACTCCGGAGAAGTGGAGCGGAGCGGGTATAATGTCCCATCGGCCCATTCATATCCATTCAGGGACTTCACCTTCATTCCTTTTATTCCTGAACATCTTGTTACAAATTATTAACTACAATAATCGGCAGACTCCTTTATTTTAATGTAGTACATATTTGAAGTCTCTCTGTTATGTAGGACGTGATATTAGTTCTATACAAATTTCTCTCGATATCATCAGTGATAAGAGCCAAACGTAGCACACAAACTCCAAGACGGCACGAATGTTATAATATTTAACGGCTAATCATCAAAAGTTGAAATGAGCTCATATCAATATTTTCGACTTTTGCGAATGATGCATACGGTAACATACCATGAGCCTCACGAAGTATAGGAACCTAGATGCCATTCAAGCGGCACTTGATGCATGAATACAATTTCTACCGGTACATTATTAAAAAAAAAATAGAGCATCCTTCGGTGAGAAATGGCAAACGATACTCCCTCGGAAGTATGTCACAAGTCGTTCAAACACAAGTCAATTCACGGAATATATATTCAAATGATGATAGACAAAGTAGGCCTATCCCTGTTTATGTTTTTCATTCCTTGTACCCGTGTGACTGGACTTGTGAACTCACCCTGTATAAAGTTGTTGTGATTCGCTTGTGAATTGTGGTAGATAGACTCGAAAGCATCCGTCTGTCTGTTCAGAAAGGTTTGTTTCATTGCGTAGTTCTACCCGGTGGCGACATCTATTATTGATCCGTATTGCAGAGATTGGATTTCCTGCAGCTGATGTTAGACGCCCACAAGAAATCCGACTTGACGGCTGAAGACAAAGAACAGGCGACCGAGGAAGAGAAGTTGGAAGAGGAGCACCGCAAGCACATGAGCAAGAAATCCCTGACGATGGATGAACTCAAATCACAAGTGAGCGCATAGTATATCAAGAAGGGATGGGGAAACTAATCAGCACCCTACGCGCAAGGCATTTTAACTTAAGTTTCCCGAAAGTTATTCGAGGAAGCGCCTACTCTTATTTTCCAAGATTAACGTTCACTTTGTTCGACTGACACTGGTGATTAGATGTTCAGGAATAGATAGAGTGTAGCAATTTTCTTTTAAAACTCTCTTAATTTGACTGACTGAATTTCCATTCTAACTCGTCTCGGTCGTACAGTTTCATCAAGTAATAGATTATCATGTTGCAGAGATTAATGTTTTGTTCATCTATTACCTTTGTCATTGAATTGAAAGCTTGATGAGCTTTTTCCTTTTCTTGGGGGGTTCGTCTCGGACAGGGATTGGTCTTCTTCCTCGCCGGCTTTGAGACCTCCAGCACCACGCTGGGCTTCGCCTCCTACCTCCTGGCAACCAACCCGGAAGTTCAGGACAAGTTGGTGAACGAGATTGACACCCTGGCCCCCGGACGCGATGATGTCACCTATGAGAATATCACCAAGATGACCTATCTGGACCAGGTCATATGTGAGACGCTCCGAGTGTACCCTCCCGCCATCCTGTGCGTATAGCTACAATATCGTTTAGGTTTTTTGCACAAACTTAATCAACGTTTTTGGCTATTATTAAGTAATTCGTGCGTCACTTGTTTCGTATGTTGTTCCCGGCCTTACACTGTTTTCGTGTACCCTTTTCTGTGCCACCGTGCCCCACCCTAGCTGTCCAGCCTTTCTGTACTGCAGTTCCCTTTGTTAACACTAACCCTTGTTTAGCACTGCCCAAGCCAACCCTATTGACATTTCTTTTGTTAAACAGTTAAAGCGGAATTTGCATGCAATAACAACTTTTGATCCTCAATGATATCAATCCTTGCTGGCAAAAGTCTTTTCCAGTCCAAATTGCATATTAAACACCCATAGGGGTTGTACATTCGCTAATTTTTCGGTCCAGTGTTTTGTGTATTGTTTGTTTTAATAGTTGCGTCGTAATTTCAAACTTGGCTAATCTTTTTTCCCTGAAAACCCTCCAAAAAAATATGCTTACATACATTCTGTGTCAAGTTGTCATTTCAGTCAAAATAAATAAGAGACTGTTTTCAACATGCAGTTAAGAGTTCCCAGCCTATACATAAAGCAGGATTGACTGGCTGTGACTGTTTACGTAACTTGATACAGCTATGCATTGACTGTAGGTGATTGATAAGCCAGCTGTGCCTACCACTTGTTTGCTTTTGTCTGTTGACTGAATTTGACTAGTCACAGTTCTTGCTTGAAATATGATCTGCCTGTTGGTGACTATATTATGGAAGAGGATTGATTTTGTGACTGTCTGTGACTGTTTAGATAGCAGGAGTGTAAACGGCTTTCAGTCACAACGTGTGCCATCTACGACTGTGGCTTAAAAAAAGTACATATATCGACAGTGACTAACTGTCAGGTTTGTTGTTATGGCTGATCAACAGTACGGCCCGTGAGGCCAGTCGGGACTACCAGTATCAAGGATACACCATTCCTGAAGGCATGGAGATCGTCATCTCAGTCTGGCAGATCCATCATGATCCGGAGCTGTGGGAAGACCCGGACAAATTCGACCCCGACAGGTATGTACATCCAATCTTTTGTCCCTGTCATTATCATGGTCAAAGTCAATCACATACATTGAAGTCAACCAGACCCAAATCAAGTTCCGAGCTATGGAACAAAGGCATTCCTGTACGTAATTGTTTATTACCTCTGAATTGACTTGTGAAAAGACTTGCAATTCACTCATGACTCGATTTGTGGTGGGCTTGTAATGGTGTCGCACACTGCCGAGAGCTCGGACCTAGTTTGCTGTTTTCTAACCTCGGTATAAGTACTCGTCATCCGACTCATTTGAGACAGGTGCTCAGAGACGATTGATCGATCCTTTGCATTTAATATGCAAACGACGATTTTAACCCATCCTAGCAACTTTTATAGACCTGAGTCATAGTGACGTTCAGGCTTTGTTTACTTGAGCTGCGATTTCTTTTGGGAGTTTGTTGACTCTAGTCCCCACCTAGCTCCTACAAGAAAGTGCACATCTTAATGAAGCGTGACGTCATTAGGGCTATTAGTTTTCTCTTTCGCAATGTGGTTACAATGGTTAGCAATATATCAGCTATTTCGTCATGTTACTGAACATTTTGTGTGGCCTAGTGGTTTATGGTTCGTGGCTCATGACAAAAGGGTCAGGGGTTCAAATCCAGCTGCGCACCATAGATTCAAGATTCAAGATCCAAGTAGACATTTATTCCATACTCCTTTTGGAAAATAAGTCGATAATTAAAGAAAATAAGTACACAGGAAGAAAACAAAATCATTATATATCGAACATGTAATGAACAAAAGTAATGTACGTTTGGATCTAATAATACAATAAGACTTATGATCTATGTCCAAGAGAAAAGATGTTGCGTCCTTGGCAAGCTTCACCCCCACTTGCCCCTATCCACCCAAACGTATAAATGGGTACCAGCATTAGCTGGGAAGTAACCTGCCATGGACTAGCATCCCATATCTGAAATATTATCAGTCGTTTCATGCCAAGGAAACCAGAGGAAACGCCGGCCTGATGGGCTATAATTGGCAGACTTTACTTATACATTAAATCAGCCTTCTTTGGCGTAAATTGGCAGGATATTTGGTAACCTTGATGGCTACTACCCTTGCACCTACACACAGCTAGGCCTACATGTACCTTTTTCTGAGCTGTGGCCGCGGAAACCATTTCATTGAGCAGGAAATGTTGCTTCGAAAGTATCACTAGACTGGGAAGCAGTCGGAAGCGTCATACAGCATTTAAACCTTTGGCTACGAGGGCCTAACCTGCTTTTGCTAATGCCATTTGTTTTGGCTCAATATCAGTCAAAGAATTATTGACGTTGCAACCTTCACTTAGGCCTATCTGTCTCGAGTTCTTTTTTCCTGCTGCTGTAAGCTCCATCCTCGGCTTATTAGTGGCGAACCCCGGCCAAAATACTGATCAAGGTATTATGAATTTCCCTTGATGATAAGATTTGTTTAAAATAATGTTACCGAAGCTTTTCCCGATTGCTATGTTATCTGATAGTAAATTGATCTAACTTGAAAACGAATTGATTATTGTTTTTTCACAGGTTCACACCAGAGCAACGTGAGAAGCGCCATCCATGTGCTTGGATTCCATTTGGTGCCGGCCCACGCAACTGTATTGGAATGCGCTTCGCACTGCTGCAGGTTAGTTGTCAGGCTAATTAGAAATTGGAGTTAATCATTGTACGTCATCAAGCATTGCCAAGAAAAGGTCACTTTCAAGCTGAACGTTGGCCTCCTTGCCTTATTTCTTGTTCCTACAATTTACCGTTTTCATTGTCTACGTGCGATCCCACACAACATTCATGTGGAAGACTTGTGCAGGCATTGTGAATCGAAGGATTTGAGTCCTTGTAGTTTGGTGCAGAAAGACTGGTGCGCGAATGTCGACTTTTACCATAACGCGCTCTGGAAAAATTGCATTTTCTTACATTTTGGCGGCCTAGTAGTAAAATTTAAAATGTTGTTGTGCGAACGACTACTTTGTATACTGCACCCACTAAACATTTTCTTTTATAAACAAAATAGGCCTATTCGAATTATCATGTTTTTCAATTTTGGCCTCCTTTCTTGTTTTTTCTTGGTTGAGGAGTGGATCCGCGTTCACAAATAATAGGTCATTGTCTTTTAAAACTGTCACAATTCCGGTGCACACCAGTGCTTAATTCGTATTTTGATTTGCCTTGTTGAACAGACTAAAATGGGATTGGTTCGGATGCTGCAGAACTTCCGCCTGGAGACTTGTGAAGAGACTGAGGTAAGTTGAAGAAGGCTTGGAACCAGACTGATCATGACAGTCTTAAGAAGCATAATACTGTCGAGGAAAGCTCTGACAGTGAGAACAAGTTATATTTGTTGCCTAATTCACAAGCGTCGCAACCTGTAGTTTATTTGTTGCCTAATTAGAAAGTCACTCTCGTAGAATAGGAACACATGTATCAGTGTGGTTTAACACCTCAATGCCTCAGACACGGCGTCAGAATACGGCCAGCTCTTTAACTGTAGACATGCACACAGAGCACATGTGTACAGAACCACAGCTGTCATACTTCAGGGGCCATTCAGAATGTTCAATGTTTTAAAATTTCGACTTTTTTTCCAAATTATTTTGACCCACCCAACCACCCCTAATTTCGATTAATAGAAAAACAAAACATGTACATGTACATGAACTTGCATGTACATCATTACATCCCACTGGCGAGCCTGTGCGGGTTGCATGTCCTTTCGGGAAAAAAATGTACAGAACATACAGGGGACGACGTTTGAAAAGAAACATGCATCGCAATATCGGAACGCTTGCGCGTAGTTCAGGCAAGTCAAAAGATCAATTTTTTTTGGCTCTTTTTACATGAAAAGTGAATTTCGATTTTCATTTCTTTAGCTTGACCCACCCACCCACAATTTGGAAAAACAGTCGAAATTTTAAACACTGAAAATTCTGAATGGCCCCTAAGGTGCGCTACAAGCATCACAAAAGCTATATATTAAAGTTCCCTGCCATCATTCAAGTGGCCAGGTCGTCAGTCTGTAATTGTATACAGCCCAACTGTATGTCCTGCACGAATGCACATCCTGGTATATTCTAGTGCAAGTCAAATGCTTTGAGTATGAGTTACTGGACTTTTTCTTGGTTTTGTAACTTTAACTTATATCATTATCATCGGTAAAATCAGCTGATATATTGATACATAATAATTATGCGCGGTTAAGATCATCGGCGCATGCGCGTTCTCCGGCCTACACTCTGCTGAGCTGGGGTTACACGAAAAAAAAAATCATTTTTTTAAAAATCATATTTGTATGCTGCATGTGGTGATGTGCATTGGGGTAACTGGAAAATTATTTTGATCTTTTATAATTAGATTCCGCCAGTCCTCGGCAAGTTTGGATTCCTGGCTCCAGCCAACGGTTTCAAACTGTCGGCTGTTCCTCGATCCTAGGGACCTTATAAAAGGCTAGACGCTCAGCATTCGAAGATCACGTCAGAGCCGGAATTCTAACCTGATATGATGACACGTCCCACGTAATTCCTGAGTCAATGATCACCAGCTATTTGGTCAAATTAGACATTTTCTGAAGTATCATGGCTGGAATCTGATTAGTGAGCATCGATAGCTTTTGAATCTTTGTCATTGAATCAATGCAATGATTTGTTTTTAAGGAAACATGCAGTGGAAATTTAGCTCATCTTGTTTTCATGCGCATTACTAGACTACGTGTTGCAACAATACATACAAGATAATAATACTTGCTTTCATTACAAGCGACAAGAAAGTAGTAATTTTTGAATTATTAGGAGATCCTTTCATCAATACATGTTAAGAGGGCGCTATTTTGCTTTTGTCACACATGGTACGCCTGGTCAAAACTGCATATTAACAGTACAAAAAAATAGTTTTGAGTAAATATTGGCCATTACTATTGTCCAAACAAGCCGTTTGGCATGATAAACAAGTAAATGAAGAAAAGTTTGATCTATATTGATACACAGAGCTACAGATGCACTATTGTTCTGCCTTGAATGACATCACACTTTGGCTCATGAAGATGGACATTTTCTTTAGCATAAAAACTAAAATGTTGAAATTTCTCCCTGTTACTGCTACAAAGGAGGTGGAAAGTCATGGCAAGAGAGCTGTTTTAATGTATTTAAGTCATAAAAATCATATTCCTTTAAGTCTTTGGGGTTCGTAGAATTTTTTTCTGTTGGATTTTGTTCCTGACCTGTTTTTCGAGTGGCTGTGTATACTCATGAGAATCTATTTTACAACATCAAGCACTTTGCTTTTTGCATCATAAGACTGGATGCTTAAAAGTTGTTTGTTGTGTTGTGTTAATTGTAAACGAATGGAAGCTTAAGTAGCATCGAATCACTAACAAAATGTGAAAATTTGTTGAACCGCCATTTTAATTGGAACATCTTGTATCATGTTTATATTAAATTTTAGAGATGGAAATTATGTTAATGGAATTGTAACTCTGTCAATGCTGTTTTTTTCTTTAGGTACATTAGGCTTTACAATTTATTATAATCTGTACTAATCATAAGATGAATTGTTTGTAAGATGGAATTGCTATGTACATCAGATTTAAACCGGTCAACCGATCCCGTTAGCTCGGTGGTCAAGTGGTAAGACATCTGCTCTAGAAAGCAGGAGGTCGGTTCGAGTCCCACCCGGGTGATTTTTCCAACTTTCACTCGGGAGGTAACACACTGAGAGTGTTTATACGTCATTGAAGGGCGAAACCTAATTTGATTTATAATCTGTCCAAAAAGGGGCGTATTTTCCGATCCCCGTGGGGTGGGCACAGTGAAACTCGTCTTGTGGCACTGATCTGTTCATCCAACCTGGGTTGAGGAAAACCGACCAATAGCTCTACCATCGTGTAAACCCAGCACACCAACTTAAGTCGTGCTTAAATTCTAGATCTGGAATTTCAAGAAGCAAAATTTATAAGTAATCTTGACTAGCTATAGGTAAGTTTGAAAAACCATTACGAATCACAGTCATGTAAATCAAATGACACCGTTTTTTTAATTTTTTTTTTTATTGAATACAAATCTTTGCTTCTAAAATGGCTCTACTACTGTAAGTTACTACAATAAAGGTAAAAAACACGGTTATAAAACCTTTAATAATAAAAACAATACTGTACAGTAATCGTTTCCTAAAATCATAATTTGCCTGATTGTGTTCTTAGGTTGTGTCGAAGCATATAACAGCATTCGAAATGGACTATTGGCAGCCACGAGAGCGGGATGGGAAGAAAAATGGTGTTGATTGCATTTTGGAACTCTTCAATTGTAAAAACAATCTGTGATATTTTTAAGATACATGTATTTGGAAAAAATATCGGCTATGCTAGGTAATGGGTATTTTGTGAAACAGTAGTGTTACATTTTATACTAGATGAGCTTATTTTAATTTGCACTTCCAAATACACAAAACGAAATTAGAGATTCGCTTAGGTTGAGTTACAAATTAAACGCAGGGTGGTATCGGGCAAACAACTATTTCATTGTTGTGAATAAATGTCAGAAAAGACAAGAAATCAACAAATTCAGTTATTTCTATAGTAGAATCATTTGTTTTTAATTTGAAGGTAAAAAAGCAGACACCATGTTTTTGTTGGTTTTTTTATTTTATAATTTTTTTATGCACTATAGGCCTACATTTAAAGGGACACTAGGTCCTGGAACAGCGCGCCCAATTGGGCTACAAAACGCGCTTTGAACGAAATGATGTTAATCGGAAATAACATTTTAAAGTAGGATATAAACATCCACACAACTATCCTTTCAAAACTGGGCGTTTTTGTGTTATTCCTGTATTTTTCGTGCGAGAGCGAATTTTCCCATGGGACGGTGAATTGGTCACCATGCAGCATGGGATTTTTCCCATGGGTTTTTTTTCCCATGGGAAATTTGATACGGATCTTTTCTCATGAATGGTTTCCTATCATTTCTCAAAAGACTCAAAATTGCTCCACTTGGTATTTGTCAGCAACAACTTTCTATGATTGCGTTTTAACCCTGTGTGTGCTATTCACTAATATAGGTATAGAGCACATGCATCACGGAACTCTGGTTGGGGTAGTTTTCCCATGGTTTGATGTCCATGAAATCCCCATGTGTTCCCATGGTGTCCATAAAATTCCCATTGTGTTTCCATGGTGTTCATAATTTCCCATAGTGTTCCCATGATGTCCATAAAATCCCCATGGTGCTCCCATGGAGCTCATAAATTCCCATGGTGTTCCCATGTTGTCCATGCAATCTCCATGGTGTTCCCATGGGTTTTCCATGATCATGAGCATACAATCTCACATGGTGATCATTTTAACTTAATACATGGTGTTCTTGATGACCCCATGCATGGGTTTTCCATGTGGTCTCATCAGAATCCCATGGGACCCCATCGTTGCAATTTTAAAAGGAACAGATATTAAGCGAATTGTTAATTCACTTAATTCACTAAAATGTGTAACGGTAGTATTGTGATCATGTAATTGGAGAATATTTCAGCTGCAGGTTTTGCAGGTTTCAAGCTGCATTGACGTGATTCTAACTCGATTCTATCGCGATGGGTCAGTATAGGCAATCCCACGCACCCCCCCCCCCCCCCATGACTCGATCAGCAATTAACCCCAAGCAGTTTGCCGCTCCATGTTGGACGAGTTTATCTCCGTATGACTCATTTTGATCCATTATTGCAATCAGTGTTACGCAAGAGATTAACATCCAACGCGATTTATCCAACGTGGCAAATGTACATTTGTACAACCGACTATTCGATTTCTATATAGTCTCATACATCAACATTGTAGCCCCCCCCCCCCCCCCCCGCCAAAGCCATCAGTTGCGAAGCCTTCATGTTGGACGAGTTTATCACCGTATGACTCATCCATAATTGTAATCAGTGTTACACAAGAGATTAAGATCCTACGCGATTGTATCCAACGTGGCATATTTTTACAACCGATTATACGCTTTCTAGTCTCATATATCAAAATTATAGCCACCCGCCAAGGCCGTCAGATCAGGCTGCAAAGCCGCGTGCCGCGAAGCCGTGAAGGCGCGAAGACGACTGGAGCAAAGACCAATTCAGCGCATGCGGTCACTGTTATGTTCCAGTCGCTGTAACATGCTCTAACATATCCCAAACTACGGTAGTACACTCTACATGCACCAGCGCAGCAGGCAGCGTGCTACAACTGGCAATTATAACAACAAACATGGACGCGGCAGACTCGGCAACACCTGCAGTTGGGGAGGGCTGGCAACCGCCTCTATTTAGCACATCAACATGGCTTCTGATCATCACAGCCGTTGGTCTCCTATTTGTGTAGGTTGAGTATTTTAAAATAATACCATAGCTCCATGTTGGGCCGCGCGTGCGATCGAAATGGGCCCGTGTAACTCGGTGAAATATGCGGCTTGTAGTAGTTCTACACATGTTCTAGATGTACATGTACATGTAGGCCTGCACGGGATCCGGATACGTGTGGCCTATATGCCAAGTTGTCAATATACATGTACATTAGTATGACTTGTAATGTTTGATATAGTCCTGCATTTACTTTAGAGTACAAACCGATCATGTAGTAGGCTTTTGAAAAGTACCTGTAAAAACTGTATATATACGACAACATAACTGACGGATTCCGTCCTGGATGTGCAGGCCAACCAGTTTTGTTACGGTCATGCACCCCCAGCACGCGGTGTTTTAATCCTGGGGGCGGGGGGGGGGGGGGGCAATTCCATCCATGCTGAAGGGTACACCCGTCTTCTGCAAAATGAAGAGGGGGAGGCTTTAGTATTTTAGGCCATTTAGGCGATCGTGTAGTGTGTATTGCCTGTTCCCAATAATAGAAGACAAATAACACTTTTAATTTGTTTGACTTACCAAACTAGTTGTAGACATAAAGAACAAAATATATGTCATCTAATTCTACCTCCATATTCATAGATAGAGGGCATAAGGTTTTGCATTTTTTGAGGGAAATTTGGGAGTAAAAATGCCGATGGTTGCAACAGAACGTAACCCGAAAATAAAATGGCGATCATGACCACGATGTACCGTGAACGCACAATATTGCCCTGATTCGCACAGCACCAATTGTAAAACGCGTACGAAAATTGCAATTTCTTCCCCAAGAAAATTTTTCAAGTTTTAACAAAACTGTGAAGTCTGCTTGAGGTTGAAAAAGTCATTTTATGATGATACGACTGTGCTTTTCTCTGGTTGCCAATTTTTTTTGTATGGGGGCTTACTCGCGCGCATCCCATCCCAACCTACGCCGCCGCCAGTGTGTAGTCTCTACAAAACCAACAATAGGAACAGGCATGCACTTTTCCTCGGATCGATCAGCTGATTCCCACTTTCTTTCACCTCACACTTTAATATGCCATTAAAAATTAAAAGTACTAAATACCAAGTCCTGTTTCCTTTTTGTTTGCTAATTCCAAGTTGCATGCCTGCATGGAAGGAGGGGTTTAGGAGCTCGGCCTAGGGAGGACTGGACACCGTGATGCGCCGTTCACTGTAGCTTAATAATCAACCCCGGTTCATGCCTGTACTTCATGCGAACGCGATGCGAATTTGACGTCTTGAATTCTTTGCGAAATTCGCCCGAGTTAAATGTTCAATTTTTACGAATTCGCAGCGTGAATACTTGCCACAAAGTTAATTCGAGTTCGCTTCGCGCAGAGTATGAACCGGGCACGATTTTTTCCATACCACATGCTCTCTACTATAGAATTATGCTGGAGGCATAGCTGGATCGATCGAGACACTGCCGTAGTGTCATGGATACGGAGCCGTATCATAACGACGCCTCATAAGTCCGACGTCGGAAAAACGAGGCGTTTAATTTGTCGGAACTACGAGGCGTCGGACCTATGAGGCGTTGGACCTATGAGGCGTCGGCCTTTATTTGGTTGGGGGAAGCGATTTTGTCGGACTTATGAGCGTCGGACTTATGAGTGGACCCCATGGATACTATATTGGATTACAAATCCGATGATGTCAGTTCGATTCCCAATGGATGTTCTTTTTAAATGTCTTCTCTTTACTTCATTTTTTCTCTCTCAAAAAGGTTTGTTAGTCATTTGGAACATTTTTGGTTCACCAATATGTGGTTTGCAAGATTTTTTCAAGGAAAAATAAAGTCCTAAAACCTGATTTGCAACTCAACGTACTTCAAAATACGCCCATAACGAATGTATGCGTAGGCCTACAGAAAAAATATCGCAAACCAGGCTATACGGACAGCGAAATCACGGGGAGTTTTGCACGCTGCGGTTTCGCAAAAGTTGAGCGTATTAATTTCCAACTCCATCGATTTTGCACCGAATGTTTCATGACGTCATATTAGTTTCGCAATTCTGATGATTTTCGCGTTCGCGTAATAAAAACAATCGATCGCGCTTAGTGGCCCGGGCGAAAGGCGAGGCAAAGCGGGCGGTGAAGCCGCTATCTCAAACCTTTTAAACACGAGGGAGACGATCCAATCACTAGTCGACGGCTGGTTCATATTTAACGAGTTAGCGAACGCGAAAATGAATTCGTGACGGCGGGGTGACGGCAGGGCAAGTTCTCCCTCTGCGATTTTGCAGAAATTGAACACATTTCATGTCAACTCCGGCAAATTTGGCTGGAAATTGTTAATGACGTCAATTCACTTCGCATTTATACCAGTGAAAAAACCCACTAAAACGTAGCATCGATTTAAAAACAAAAATCAACAATTTCATGTTGATGCTAAGCAAACCAGTCCAAACTGTGGCTCGAAAAGCCTGTTGACACACGGGTGATATGTTTCGTAGGCCCCGAATTTTTCGCAGGCCCTATAGGCACAGTGCCTACTGTGCCCATTGGATAATACGGGCCTGTTTGTTTTATATACATGTCAATACATCTGAGTTATCAAACTATATGGGTAACTAAATCACTAACATTATCTCACAAAGCTACGCAAACAATATACTCCAGGCTACTTAGACAAAGTTGAAGGCAAACAGTTTATAGGAACAAATACTAGACCTGCAGAGCGCAAGTTGTAAAAGTTTGTTTAAGTATAATAGCTTATATTAAGTATAATAGCTTATATATATAAATTATATAACACATAGCTATTCTAACATAGATTTAGAGTAAAACAAGCTCTATCGGAAATATCTCGGAAGCTGCGGGCCAACGAATTCGTGTTCATGCAAGGATCACGTGAAGGAGTTGTTTTGAGTAAAACAAAATAAGTTTTGTCCCCAGTTTACGTTACATAGGCCTAATATGGGCCCATGTACTGATACTTTTGACAAAGTCTGGTTGAAATCGGTCAAAAATGAGGAGCAATAATGTCAACGTTTGTTGCTATTTAACGGACTATAAACAGAGAAACATGGTGATTTGTTGAGCTGCTATCACGCAGCTTAACAAAAATAGTTAAGTACGCACTAACACGTTAATTTAATACATGAAATCTTCACAGGAGAAGTCTCTCACCTTTTTAACATTATAAGAAAAAGTTATTTAGTATACAGGGTGAGCAAAAAAAAAAAAAAAAAAAACCCGAAACCCAAATTAAAACGAAAACAATTCACATGAAAGCTGTTAGTGAATTGTTTTCATTTTGCTGAAACTGAAAGCAAAGAACGCACTCTTTTTTTGTGATCCGTGGACAGAACTTTAAAACTGTGGTTGTGTTTAAAATTCCGTAACTTGAAAAGTACACGAGTGATTTGAATGATTCTTGTACTAAAAGGAAGCTTATGAATTGGGTTTTTATATCGTAGATTTTGAAAGTGCTTATTGGGTTTCTTTTTGTTTTACTCGCCTTGTAGTATGAATGACAAAATGATAGCACACTGTAGGCCGTGTTTATAAATAGGCCTGTGATATCATATTTATCAAAATTACTAGTACGAGGTCAAACGAAATGTCAAGGAATCATCAATCTAAAGGCTGCACATTGCAGCGGACTGAAGCTATTTTAATGATGAACATTCAAGAATTTAAAGTGTATAAAACTGAGCACCGTATCTTAAATTAACGTAGGCTGTGCAAGGCTTTGGAAAATTAGTCTTCCGGAGTTTATACTTACGTTTTATCAATATTGTTTATATTATACTCCAAAATATGAGGATCTGTATCATAAAACATACTACGTATTTTGGTATAATTATGGCCGACAAATATCATTAGTAAAAATTATAACTGTAGATATAGGCTTAACCCGTATAGGCCTAAAGTTTTGAAATTCTAACTTTTCGATGATTGCGATTCAGACACGTTTTGCGGACAAAATTGTGTAGACCAGTAACGTCATGTGCGTGGACGATTGAGTCAATATGATGTAATCCTTAATCCCACGGTGTCCCCCCCCCAAAAAAAAAACACCCCACATTAACCCAAGCTAGCTTGCTGCTCCATTTGGCCGAATTTATCACGTCGTATGACTCATTTTGATCCATCATTGCATCATATTCCATCATTTTGATCCATAAATACCCAAGAGATTCCAACGCGATTTTATCCAACGTGGCATTTTTGTACACTTTCTAGTCTCATAGTCATACATCAACATTAATAGCCTTCGCCAAGACGGTCAGCTGCGAAGTTGCAAAGCTGCGAAAACTCGAAACGACGTGAGCAAAGACCAATCTAGCGCCTATGCATAATGGCGTTAAGCCACATTGGCCGGCCTTGACGAAAGGCTACATTATATCTGAACTGACTACAATCGGAGCATCAACACGAACAGTCCTACAGACGTACGTAGGTCAGTTGCAGTACTTGGACCTGCACTACACAACTGGCAATTATTACAACGACATGGACGCGGCTGACTCGGCAACACCTGCAGTTGGGGAGGGCTGGCAACCGCCTCTATTTAGCACATCATCATGGCTTCTGATCATCACAGCCTGTGTTCTCCTATTTGTGTAGGTTGAATATTTTGAAATATACGGGTTGGGCCGTGCGATCGAAATGGGCCCGTGTACGTGTGGCTGTCAAAGTTTCATTTGTATAGTAGTGCCTGCATGTGTAATTGTAGCTGATGGTTCCGGTTGTCAAATACATGTTTGTTTGGTTTGATCATGTAGCTCCATGGTTTGATACAGTACATCAGTACGCACCTGTATGCGTGTGTGATACATGTATATGCCCATGTCCTGCATACATGTAGGCATTCAAAAAGCACCTGTACGTACCTGTAGTACTATACAACAAAATCGTCCTGATCCTATACCTCCATGTATGTGTGCGGCAACCAGCTGCTGAGCCTATCACGCCCCCAAAGGGTGGACAGGTCTTTTTTCACCGGACACCCGGCCTCTGTACAATATGCAAGGGCGTCAATCACTTTTTAAAAGGGGGGGGGGGGCATTTTGTTGGCCGGAACTTATGCGAAGCGCCAAGCCATAACGGCGTGGGGTTCGGGGCCCGCCTAAGGGCCCCTACATTTTTTGGATGCTAGACGCTCTGTGGTGCGATCTGAGGCAATTTCTGATCACTTTAACGAATTTTGTGAGCAAAAGATCATAATTTAAACATACTTTTTAAGTTTCTGAGCTATTGAATCATATTATGTATGTAGGCTATTTTGTTGGAGGGGGACAAAAAAATGTGGGGGGGGGGGGACAAACGATATGATATCCCCGACTTGCCCCCCCCCCCCGTCTCCCACCGATTGACGCCCATGGTAATATGAAAAAGGTAGAGGAAGGCTTTATATTAGGTGATCGTGACTTCTTCAGCCTAAAGCAGAGTTCTATCACTTCTATTAAGGTCAAAAGAAAAGTCTCTGGTTTCTGGTCTGCGCGCGCGTCGCCGTAGCCATGCGCGTCGGCAAAATTAAAAATATATATTTTTTTCAATGTGAGATGATGTCTCAAAACCGCCAAACCGACTGGTTTGATTGGAATCCTGCTGCTGCACAATACATTTTAACGATGATGCGACCGCGAATTCAATTGACATCACGGCAAGTTTTCACACTGCTGTTTTGCAAAAGTTGAGCGCATTTCAACTCCGGCGAATTTTGCTGCGAATGTCTCGATCATGACGTCAAATTCGCTTCTTATTTGCGCATATTCGCGTAATATTATGTTCAATCGATCGCGCCCGCCCCGGGCGACAGGCGAAGTGAACGATGAAGCCGGTATCTCAGACTTACTGACCAATATTGCTTTAAAACACGAGAAAGACGATCCAGTTACATGTACAATGGGGAGTCGACAGTCAGTTCAAATTTAACAAATAAGCAAACGCCAAAACGAATTTGTGACGTCAGGGTAAGTTTTCGCGCTGCGATTTTGCAAAAATATGAACACATCTCATGTCAACTCCGGTGAATTTCGCTGGAAATGTTTCATGACGTCAAATTCACTTCGCGTTATGAACCGGCCTTTATTATACCTGTGAAAGAACCACTAAATCGTAGCATCGATTTAAAACAAAATCAACATGTTGATCCTTATTGACAGCTACGATTACTGGAGCCATCATTACCTGGCAAGATTGGGTATTCCTGGAGGAAGCTCGAAGCCGTTTATCGGTAACACCCTGGACTTCTTTTTCAACAAAGAAGTGAGTGAAGTTATGCACTTCAATGTCAAAGCCTGCAGAGAATAATGATAAAACTGGTTTGCCTTTTACTAGGATTGATGAGGGACAAGAGACCAACTTAACATTATATGGGAAATGATAAAGCAGTGCCTTCTTGGTCTGAATGAGGAATTCCAAAATAGGGGGGGGGGGGCGCTTTGCAAAACCGGCCATTATGCAAGCGACGCATTATGTGCCCATTTTCAGAGATTTCTGATATGAACGAGGAATATGAAAACCAAGCCCCAAAACTCTTACAAATTGTAGTTGTAATACAATGCGTATTGCAACTACAATTTGTAAGAGTTTTGGGGCTTGGTAGAATGAAAAAAAAACCAATGAAATGGTTACTGTAATAACCAATAACAGTATGAAGTTGAAAATTTGCAACCGTTTCAGGGAATACAAGGCTACCATGAGAAGTGCTTTGCCCGCTACGGAAAATTATTCGGGTAGGTTATGCATAATGCAGGTTCATGATTTTTTTTCCGTGTGACTTTATCTATCTCTGTGCAAATTATGCAAATGAGCTTAACGGTCCCGTATTACCTGCACGTACCTTATAATATACAACTGACATTCATGACCGTATACATGTACGTGTTGGTATCACGGGTAGTGCAGCTTTTTAAACAAAGAAAGAAACTCTAAGTTTTTCTCGAGTAGATAATGGTTCCTCAATCTCCACTATTATGAACTTGAGGCGACTTAATGAAGAAACAAACATACATCAGAAATCCCTCTTTGAAAACAATAGGCGGCCTATGAAATAATGAACACAAACATTTGGAAGATTGATCATATGAGTTTCTCAAACCCAAACAGTCTTAAAGTGAATCCTCTTTTCCACATATATCCGAATTATAACTCTTAAACATTGTCTCTTCTGTCAATATACAAGTTGTATCATATCATTGAAAAATCTTACTTTGGTTTGTTTCATGTATTCCTCGATATTATCGCCCGTTGATATGACATTATTTCTTGTAGTTCTTATCTGGGCTGGCGCCCTGGAGTGGTGACTGCAGATGTCGATCTGGTCCGATTAGTGTGCATCAAGGATTTTGCCAGTTTCACAAATCGGAGGGTGAGTAAACGCACTAGAAAGTCACTTCTGCACCAACATTGTGAAAAAAATGTGCCTTTTTTTTGGAGATAAGATAAAATCGAAGGGCGCTATTTGGTTTAGCTATTACAATTTGGCGAACTTCAAAACCAAATCAGATAGTGCCGTCAATTGTGTCCACCATGTCTAAAATGTTTTTATTATTTCCTCCAAAATGGCCGCCAGACCGGGCGATTTTTCAAAATGGCTGCATGCCAGTTTTTTTTTTTTTAAATGGCCACCACTTGGACACAGGAAATGGCATGTCAGCTTTATATGGGCTAGATGCAACAGACGAAGAAGCCAAAATAATGCCAATGTTAAAAATTAATCATTTTTTCGGTAAAAAAAAGGGAAAAAAGGAGGCTGCCTCCAAAAAGGAAGCGGGCGGGGACGCTAATTTTTGTTTTTTTATTTGGCCTTATGACACGTGGTGGGTGATTCGTTTCAAAGACATGTCTGTAAAATAACCACAATCCCATTAGGGATTTATACTTAAAAAAAAGTTGTTCAATAACAAATTGCATTGTTATAGCGTGTCTTCGATACTGTAATTTCATTAGTCTCGAACGGCCACATTATCTAGTCCATAAAAATAACCGTTTACTTCATATACACTGCGTTGATTATGTATGTATGTAAATTATCTCATAATTATGTACTTGCGTTGCACAATTATTGTTTATGCTGCTGCATGTGATGTGGCGTTTTAACCACCTCGTGGTACATAGCACTCCAGCTTAGCCTAAGGTGCTATATATGCGTCCCTCAGGTGTTAAAAATGCCATATTTTCCTTATGAACATTTGTTTTGGTAACTCCTCGATTCAATGCATGAGGGGAACGCTGAGGCCGGGTCCCGTACTTGCTTCGAAACTCGTCTGTACGCCCTGCAATTTGTCGAAATTTCAAGCACGGAAATTACTTCCATATTACTAATTACGAAATGTGTAATTTGGGAGACGTTCCCAAAGACTTGTGCGCCCAACCTTTCCGTCTTTAATGTCACATAATCCCAATTTCACCTTATCCTACCCCCACGAATTTCGGTATATGAATTGGACGACAAGCAATCGATCAAGCAAAATGTTGCCTCCAAATATAGGAGCTGTGACATTACGGAGACATTGAAATGTCTTCCTAATGTCCGGTGTCTCCCTAAGGTACCATCATTAACAGGTATACTTATTATTTGTTGGCACATCAGAGGCAGCCGATTGACAACAAGCCATTTCACAAGGCTTTGCCTGACCTGAGAGATGACCATTGGAAGGACGTGCGGGGAATCCTCAGTCCAACATTCAGCGGCTCCAAGATGAAGCTGGTAAGTTGTCGGGTCAAAGGTTGAGTATTTCTGGCCCGGTGAGGACCAGACTAGAGTCATCTTCGTTCTTCAGTGACACATTGACTATCACTTGTGAACCAGACTAGTATATTTTAATATACATAAAGTTGTATATGTCTAAACAAAATAATTGTTTGTACTGGAAAGGTTACATTATTTTCGTGATCCTTTGTTCTGACATAAAAATATCCAAAACTAGGCAGGTTTTAATAAAATAGTTGCTTGCCCCACCACTCTGCGTTTGTACTTGACAAACGCGAACATCTAGTTTGTTGCGAGATTACCACACTCTGTCAAACAGATGTTTTGTGAACTCTCTTAGAGATTTGTAAAAAGTGCGTGATGATCTTTGCTTTGTCCTGTTCAGATGGCGCCACTCATCAACGATTGCCTCGATCCTATGATCAGGAAAGTTGCTAAACACCACGAAGAAGGCAAGAGTTTACAGATGAAAGAGTAAGTTGACTGTTCTAGAATCACATAAATGAATGTACGGTATTTATGTATGTATAAATAATGATTTTTCCCCAGGTACCTTTGTCAAAGACAATAAGAAAAATCAATTTTCTCCTTAGTGTAGCTGGGCCAAAGTACTTCCTTCATGTCCTGACACTCACTTTTGGTTTCTTGTCTATACTTTTTGTACATTTTGGATCAATTCTTGTCTCTTTAAACCAACTCTCTACATGAAAGTCTAGTGAGTTTTATTAAAGTGAAGTTTAATTTGGGAATGTTTGAGACCATTTTGTCTTAAGTTCCCAAATCACGCTGGGGTAAAAATAACCCAAACGCTAGGAACGCAGTATGACAGTGACACAGCTCAGGTCAATAGACCCTGTGCGCGGAGGAGGCGGTTTTAAATTGAAATGCAGTGACAATGAAAGTAATTTTCAAATCTATTCATGCGGATCACAGACTGAGGAACAAAGGCCCGTCCCCACTGAGGGCGCACAATGCAAGGGCTCTTTTTATTCGTCACTAACTTACTGTGGGTTTATTGGGCTCTCCTTCGTTCCAGTATATATGGTGGATATCTGATTGATGCTATCGGCAACTGCGCTTTCGGTCTGACTCTCAACTCGCAGGAAACTGAAAACGATCCCTTTCTCTTCAACACCAAAGACATATTCAATTTTAAATTTAACTTCACGATCTTCGTTATAGGTAAGTACAATCTACGCCAATACAGTGCCAGATAATGAGGACGTAACTGTATTTGCAAAATTAATAGTATTGTACGTCAGTTCTGTGACTAATAGAGTTGTGAAGCACAGATATACTGCTTAAAGGGAAGATACAACATTTGCAAACATCAAAAAACGAAATGATCCAATTATCACGAAATACCTTACTGGATTGTTAGGGAATGACAGTCTAAAACATCCTGTAAAATTGTGGCTCCTGGTGTGCTGACATTTTCAAGAAATATTGTATTTTTCCAACGCTGGTCGGCCGACCAGCGCTGGAGAAAACTGGCTATTTTCAAAAACTACTCCATATTTCTTATATTTAGTTATTCCACATTTTCTTTGCAATTGATTACTCACCTGTGAACGGGTACAAGCCAGCTAAATTGATACTCTGACCGTACAATTCCCCAAAGTCTAAGTGGGGTCAGGGAACCAGACTACAAGAATATTACTGTTTTTTGGGGTTTTTCCAGCATCTACAAGCCAAAAACGTAAAACAAGTCAGTTTAACAATATTTGCTAAAACATATAAATCCTCCAAATGTACTTAATTCTGAAAATTGCAGCAAAAGCCAATGTTGTGCATTCCCTTTAACAGGAAATATTTGCTAGACAAAAAAAAAGCTATCCAAAAACATATCGGATGATATAGAATTTTCGAGCATTGGTAATGTTATCTGCATACTCAGTAGCTCCACGAAACTGTGTCTTGAATTTGTAAGCAAGCCGACCTGGGGGGGGGGGGGAGCAGGAGGGGCACTTGCCCCCCCCCCCCCCCCCCAGATTTTTCACGGCCAAGAAAAGTGCCCCTCTCGTGGTTATTAATTTGCCCCCTCGAAATAAAAACAAAATTGCCCCTCAAACGCACACATGAAAGCATACGATCGCACTACAAATAAAATTGTCTCCTCTGTTGTTATGGAAAACTGCCCCTCAAAACACAAATGCCCCTCTCGCATTAACAAGATTGTGCACCTTCTCGAGATGGAAAACTACCCCTCGAAAGGACAAATATCCCTGTGGCAATAATCAAATTGTGCCCCTCTCCAGATGGAAAATTGGCCATCAAAACAATAGTGCATCTCGCGATAACTTCTCGAGATGTAAATGACAGTGCCCCTCGAATGCACAATTTTATCACTGCCCGGCTCGCAACATTAAAATTGTGCCCCTGTCATGGAAAACCAGCCTTTTAAAAAAAATTATAGTAAAAGTACTCCTCCTCACCCAAAAAAAATGCTCACTGAGCTGGTCATCAAAAGCAACAGTGCCCCTCTCGCGATAAAAACATGGTCTCTCTACATAATTTGTCAATTCATGGGCGGACCCAGACAGGTTACTGCCGAAGTCGGGGGCGGAGGGTGTGCGGTGAGCCCGAGGTCTAAGGGCGGATCCAAGGGGTGGGGGCAGTGGGGCCATTTCCCCCCCCCCCCCAACAAAAAAAACCACGAATCTATTTTTTTTTTAGTGACGTCACAAAAAAAGGCCAAAGATGGCGATTTCCGCCGTGAAACAATCGATGAGGAACGCCGAAAGGCCGCTTCATACTTCGAATGTGGATGCGAACGCGAAGAGAAAAACGTCGGAAAGCATTCGCTGCGAAATTCACCGGAGTAATGTGTTTTAACTTTTGCAAATTCACAACGCAAATACTTGCCGTGACTTCATAAATTCGCAAATTGCATTTGCTTTCTCATTGAGTATGCACCAGCCCAAACGGCAAGCACTGCTGGGCAGTATGATTGCATCATCTGCATACTGTTTTTGTTTTCCTGTAGTGTTTTTACCATTCCTGGCTCCCGTGCTGAACTATTTCGGTGCGACTACCTTCAGACGGTCAACTATGAATTTCTTTGAGAACATCATGGACCAGGCAGTGGAACTCCGGAGAAGTGGAGCGGAGCGGGTATAATGTCCCATCGGCCCATTCATATCCATTCAGGGACTTCACCTTCATTCCTTTTATTCCTGAACATCTTGTTACAAATTATTAACTACAATAATCGGCAGACTCCTTTATTTTAATGTAGTACATATTTGAAGTCTCTCTGTTATGTAGGACGTGATATTAGTTCTATACAAATTTCTCTCGATATCATCAGTGATAAGAGCCAAACGTAGCACACAAACTCCAAGACGGCACGAATGTTATAATATTTAACGGCTAATCATCAAAAGTTGAAATGAGCTCATATCAATATTTTCGACTTTTGCGAATGATGCATACGGTAACATACCATGAGCCTCACGAAGTATAGGAACCTAGATGCCATTCAAGCGGCACTTGATGCATGAATACAATTTCTACCGGTACATTATTAAAAAAAAATAGAGCATCCTTCGGTGAGAAATGGCAAACGATACTCCCTCGGAATATGTCACAAGTCGTTCAAACACAAGTCAATTCACGGAATATATATTCAAATGATGATAGACAAAGTAGGCCTATCCCTGTTTATGTTTTTCATTCCTTGTACCCGTGTGACTGGACTTGTGAACTCACCCTGTATAAAGTTGTTGTGATTCGCTTGTGAATTGTGGTAGATAGACTCGAAAGCATCCGTCTGTCTGTTCAGAAAGGTTTGTTTCATTGCGTAGTTCTACCCGGTGGCGACATGTATTATTGATCCGTATTGCAGAGATTGGATTTCCTGCAGCTGATGTTAGACGCGCACGAGAAATCCTACTTGACGGCTGAAGACAAAGAACAGGCGACCGAGGAAGAGAAGTTGGAAGAGGAGCACCGCAAGCACATGAGCAAGAAATCCCTGACGATGGATGAACTCAAATCACAAGTGAGCGCATAGTATATCAAGAAGGGATGGGGAAACTAATCAGCACCCTAAGTGCAAGGCATTTTAACTTAAGCTTCCCGAAAGTTATTCGAGGAAGCGCCTACTCTTATTTTCCAAGATTAACGTTCACTTTGTTCGACTGACACTGGTGATTAGATGTTCAGGAATAGATAGAGTGTAGCAATTTTCTTTTAAAACTCTCTCAATTTGACTGACTGAATTTCCACTCTAACTCGTCTCGGTCGTACAGTTTCATCAAGTAATAGCGTGTCATGTCGCAGAGATTAATGTTTTGTTCATCTATTACCTTCGTCATTGAATTGAAAGCTTTTTCCTTTTCTTGGGGGTTCGTCTCGGACAGGGATTGGTCTTCTTCCTCGCCGGCTATGATACCTCCAGCACCACGCTGGGCTTCGCCTCCTACCTCCTGGCAACCAACCCGGAAGTTCAGGACAAGTTGGTGAACGAGATTGACACCCTGGCCCCAGGACGCGATGACGTCACCTATGAGAATATCACCAAGATGACCTATCTGGACCAGGTCATATGTGAGACGCTCCGAGTGTACCCTCCCGCCATCGTGTGCGTATAGCTACAATATCGTTTAGGTTTTTTTTCCCCTGAAACTCTCCAAAAAATATGCTTACATCAGGCGCGGTTCTAGAACCAATATTTGGGGGGGGGGGGGGGGGGGCTAGCAGGGTGGATCCCGAGGGGGGGGGGGCTCATGCCATATTTTCAATTGGGAGCGCCAATAACATCGTACAATCATTCACACTATATTAACTACAAATGCACCCTTGTCACGACTATTTCTTCAGGGGGAGACCGTGTACATCACATGTCACAATCCTTCTTTTGGCTAATGCGTTGGGTTTTTTTACGGAATTTATTTTTTTGGGGGGGGGGGGGCTAGACAAAATTTTTAGGGGGCTAACCCCCCCCCCCCCCCCCCCAGCCCCCCGTAGAACCGCGCCTGCCTTACATACATTCTGTGTCAAGTTGTCATTTCAGTCAAAATAAATAAGAGACTGTTTTCAACAGTTAAGAGTTCCCAGCCTATACATAAAGCAGGATTGACTGGCTGTGACTGTTTACGTAACTTGATACAGCTATGCATTGACTGTAGGTGATTGATAAGCCAGCTGTGCCTACCACTTGTTTACTTTTGTCTGTTGACTGAATTTGACTAGTCACAGTTCTTGCTTGAAATATGATCTGCCTGTTGGTGACTATATTATGGAAAAAGATTGATTTTGTGACTGTCTGTGACTGTTTAGATAGCAGGAGTGTAAACGGCTTTCAGTCACAACGTGTGCCATCTATGACTGTGGCTTAAAAAAAGTACATATATCGACAGTGACTAAATGTCAGGTTTGTTGTTATGGCTGATCAACAGTGCGGCCCGTGAGGCCAGTCGGGACTACCAGTATCAAGGATACACCATTCCTGAAGGCATGGAGATCTTCATCTCAGTCTGGCAGATCCATCATGATCCGGAGCTGTGGGAAGACCCGGACAAATTCGACCCCGACAGGTATGTACATCCAATCTTTTGTCCCTGTCATTATCATGGTCGAAGTCAATCACATACATTGAAGTCAACCAGACCCAAATCAAGTTCCGAGCTATGGAACAAAGGCATTCCTGTACGTAATTGTTTATTACCTGTGAATTGACTTGTGAATAGACTTGCAATTCACTCCTGACTCGATTTGTGGTGGGCTTGTAATGGTGTCGCACACTGCCGAGAGCTCGGACCTAGTTTGCAGTTTTCTAACCTCGGTATAAGCACTCGTCATCCGACTCATTTGAGACAGGTGTTCAGAGACGATTGATCGATCCTTTGCATTTAATATGCAAACGACGATTTTAACCCATCCTAGCAACTTTTAGTTTTATAGACCTGGTCATAGTGACGTTCAGGCTTTGTTTACTTGAGCTGCGATTTCTTTTGGGAGTTTGTCGACTCTAGTCCTCACCTTGCTCCTACATGATAGTGCACATCTTAATGAAGCGTGACGTCATTGCGTCACAGGGCTATTAGTTTTCTCTTTCGCAATGTGGTTACAATGGTAAGCAATATATCAGCTATTTCGTCATGTTACTGAACATTTTGTGTGGCCTAGTGGTTTATGGTTCGTGACTCATGACAAAAGGGTCAGGGGTTCAAATCCAGCTGCGCACCATAGATTCAAGATTCAAGATCCAAGTAGACATTTATTCCATACTCCTTTTGGAAAATAAGTCGATAATTAAAGAAAATAAGTACACAGAGAAATAACAAAATCACTATATATCGAACATGTAATGAACAAAAGTAATGTACGTTTGGATCTAATAATATAATAAGACTTATGATCTATGTCCAAGAGAAAAGATGTTGCGTCCTTGGCAAGCTTCAGCCCCACTTGCCTCTATCCACCCAAGAGTATAAATGGTACCAGCATTAGCTGGGAAGTAACCTGCCATGGACTAGCATCCCATATCGGAAATATTATCAGTCGTTTCATGCCAAGGAAACCAGAGATAAACGCCGGCCTGATGGGCTATAATTGGCAGACTTTACTTATACATTATATCAGCCTTCTTTGGCGTAAATTGGCAGGATATTTGGTAACCTTGATGGCTACTACCCTTACACCTACACACAGCTAGGCCTACATGTACCTTTTTCTGAGCTGTGGCCGCGGAAACCATTTCATTGAGCAGGAAATGTTGCTTCGAAAGTATCACTAGACTGGGAAGCAATCGGAAGCGTCTTACAGCATTTAAACCTTTGGCTACTAGGGCCTAACCTGCTGTTGCTAATGCAATTTGTTTTGGCTCAGTGTCAGTCAAAGAATTGACGTTGCAACCTTCACTATATAGGCCTATCTGTCTCGAGTTCTTTTTTTCCTGATGCTGTAAGCTCCATCCTCGGCTTATTAGTGGCGAACCCCGGCCAAAATACTGATCAAGGTATTATGAATTCCCCTGATGATATGATTTCTTTAAGATAATGCCAACGAAGCTTTGCCTGATAGCTATGTTATCTGTTAGTAAATTGATCTAACTTTAAAACGAATTGATTATTGTTTTTTCACAGGTTCACACCAGAGCAACGCGAAAACCGCCATCCATGTGCTTGGATTCCATTTGGTGTTGGCCCACGCAACTGTATTGGAATGCGCTTCGCACTGCTGCAGGTTAGTTGTTAGGCTAATTAGAAATTGCAGTTATTCATTGTACGTCATCAAGCATTGCCAAGAAAATGTCACTTTCAAACTGAACGTTGGCCTCCTTGCCTCATTTCTTTCCCTACAATTTACCGTTTTCATTGTCTACGTGCGATCCCACACAACATTCGTGTGGAAGACTTGTGCAGGCATTGTGAATCGAAGGATTTGAGTCCTTGTAGTTTGGTGCAGAAAGACTGGTGCGCGAATGTCGACTTTTACCATAACGCGCTCTGGAAAAATTGCCTTTTCTTACATTTTGGCGGCCCAGTAGTAAAATTTACAATACTGTTGTGCGAACGACTACTTTGTATACTGCACCCACTAAACATTTTCTTTTATAAACAAAATATTCAAATAATCATGTTTTTCAATTTTGGCCTCCTTTCTTGGTTTTTCTTGGTTGAGGAGTGGATCCGCGTTCACAAATAATATGTCATTGTCTTTTAAAACTGTCACAATTCCGGTGCACACCAGTGCTTAATTCGTATTTTGATTTGCCTTGTTGAACAGACTAAAATGGGATTGGTTCGGATGCTGCAGAACTTCCGCCTGGAGACTTGTGCAGAGACTGAGGTAGGTTGAAGAAGGCTTGGAACCAGACTGATCATGAAAGTCTTAAGGAGCGTAATACTGTCGAGAAAAGCTCTAACAGCGAGAACAAGTTATATTTGTTGCCTAATTCACAAGCGTCGCAATCATTAGTTTATTTGTTGCCTAATTAGGAAGTCACTTTCGTAGAATTGGAACACTTGCGTCAGTGTGGTTTAACACCTCAATGCCTCAGACACGGCGTCAGAATACGGCCAGGTTCTTAACTGTACACATGTACACAGATATATGTAGAGAACCATAATTAAGGTGCGCTACAAATATCACGGAAGCTAAATATTAAAGTTCCCTGCCATCATTCAAGTGGCCAGGTCGTCAGTCTGTAATTGTATACAACCCAACTGTGTGTCTTGCACGAATGCACATTCTGGTATATCCCAGTGCAAATCAAATGCTTTGAGCATGAGTTACTGGACTTATTCTTGGTTTTGTAACTTTAACTTATATCATTATCATCGGTTTAAATCAGCTGATATATTGATACATAATAATTATGCGCGGTTAAGATCATCGGCGCATGCGCGTTCTCCGGCCTACGCTCTGCTGAGCTGAGGTTACATTTTTTTTAAAAAATTATATTTGTATGCTTTATGTGGTGATGTGCATTGGGGTAACTGGAAAATTATTTTGATCTTTTATAATTAGATTCCGCCAGTCCTCGGCAAGTTTGGATTCCTGACTCCAGCCAACGGTTTCAAACTGTCGGCTGTTCCTCGATCCTAGGGACCTTATAGAAGGCTAGACGCTCAGCATTGGAAGATCACGTCAGAGCCAGAGTTCTAAACTGATATGATGACACGTCCCACGTAATTCCTGAGTCAATGATCACCAGCTATTTGTCAAATTAGACATTTTCTTAGGTATCATGGCTTGAATCTGATTAGTGAGCATCGATAGCTTTTGAATCCTTGTCATTGAATGCAATGATTTGTTTTTAAGGAAACATGCAGTGGAAATTTAGCTCATCTTGTTTTCATGCGCATTACTATAGACTACGTGTTGCAACAATACATACAAGATCATAATACTTGTTTTCGTTACAAGCGACAAGAAAGAAGTAATTTTTGAGTTATTAGGAGATCCTTTCATCAATACATGGTAAGAGAGCGCTATTTTGCTTTTGTCACACATGGTACGCCTGGTCAAAACTGCATATTAACAGTACAAAAAAAATAGTTTTGAGTAAATATTGGCCATTACTATTGTCCAAACAAGCCGTTTGGCATGATAAACAAGTAAAAAGTGGACTTTAATGAAGGAAAGTTTGATCTACACTGTAAAAACGGTGCTTAGGATTTAAACACATTTCTAAACACTTATTCTGTACCCACTTTTTCCACACGTTTAGCATCATGACATGTTTAGATGTCCTTTTTCTGTGACACGCATTATCCGTTTGACATGTTTAATGAATAATATGTTTAGCATTTAAACACCTTCCTAAGCGCATTTAGATATACAATCCTAAGCACATGTCCAAAACGTAAACACGTTTAGTTTCACAACATTAAAAAGTGGTAAACGTTTAGAATTGAAACACATTCCTAAACGTTTTAAACTCTAAACACGTTCTGATGTGTTTAAATGCTAAACACTGTTTTTACAGTGTATATTTCTACACAAAACTACAGATGCACTATTGTTCTGCCTTGGATGACATCACACTTTGGCTCATGAATATGGAAATTGTCTTTTGCATTAAAACTTAAAATGTTGAAATTTCTCCCTGTTACTGCTACAAAGGAGGTGGAAAGTCATACATACGTGACAAGAGATGTTTTTTTAATGTATTTAAGTCTTAAAAACCATATTGCATGTTTCCTTTTAGTCTTTGGGGTTCGTAGAATTTTTTTCTGTTGGATTTTGTTCCTAAGCTGTTATCAGAGTGGCCCTGTATACTCAAGAGAAACTAATTTACAATATCAAGCACTTTGCTTTTTGCATCACAAGACTGGATGCTTAAAAGTTGTTTGTTGTGTTCTGTTAATTGTAAACGAATGGAAACTTAAGTAGCATCGAATCACTAACAAAATGTGTAAATTTGTTGAACCGCCATTTTAATTGGAAAAGCTTGTACTGTGTTTATATTAATTTTTAGAGAAGGAAATTATGTTAATGGAATTGTAACTCTCACAATACTGTTTTTTTTTCTTAAGGTACATTAGGCTTTACAATTTATTATAATCTGTACCATTCATTAGATGAAATATTTTTTTGTAAGATGGAATTATTTTTTGGAATTAAAAAAAATCCATCTAAAAATAAAAATAAAATCCATCTTAAATTTTTTTTCCATCTTATGGAAAAGTTAATGCGATACCCGCTGCTATGTACATCAGATTCGAACCGGCCAACCGATCCCGTTAGCTCGGTGGTCGAGTGGTAAGACATCTGCACTAGAAAGCAGGAGGTCATGGGTTTGAGTCCCACCCGAGTGATTTTTCCAACTTTCACTCGGGAGGTAACACACTGAGTATACAGTGTTTATACGTCGGTGAAGGGCAAAACCTTATTTGATTTATAATCTGTACCATACGCTAGTCGCGAAGGGCGTGTTTTCCGATCCCCATGGGGTGGGCAAAGTGAATCACATCTTGTGACACTGATGTGTCCATCCAACCTGGGTTAAGGAAAACCGACCAATAGCTCTACCATCGTGTAAACCCAGCACACCAGCTTAAGTCGTGCATAAATTCTCGATTTTGAATTTCAAAAAGCAAAATTTATAAGTAATCTTTACCAGCTAGGTAAGTTTGAAAAACCATTACGAATCACAGTCGTGTAAATCAAATAACACCGTTTTGTTATTTTTTATTTTATTGAATACAAATCTTTGCTTCTAAAATGGCTCTATCACTGTAAGTTACTATTTAAATAAAGGTTAAAAACACGGTTATAAAACCTTTAATAATAAATACAATCCTGTAGAGTAATCATTTCCTAAAATCATAATTCGCCTTATTGTGTTATTAGGTTGTGTCAAAGCATATAACAGCATTCGAAATGGACTATTGGCAGCCACGAGAGAGCGGGATGGGAAGAAAAATGGTGTTTATTGCATTTTGGAAATAAATATACTCTTCAATTGTAAAAACAATCTGCGATATTTTTAAGATACATGTATTGGGAAAAAAGTCACCTTTTCTAGGTAATAGGTATTTTGTGAAACAGTAGTGTTACATTTTATACTGAAGGAGCTTATTTTAATATGCACTTCCAAATACACAAAACGAAATTAGAGATTCGCTTAGGTTGAGTTACAAATTAAACGCAGGGTGGTATCGGGCAAACAACTATTTCATTGACATTGCGCATCAGTTAAGTTGTGAATAAATGTCAGAAAAGACAAGAAATCAACAAATTCAGTTATTTCTATAGTAGAATCCTTTGTTTTTAATTTGAAGGTAAAAAAGCAGACACCATTAGTGTTTTTTTTTTTTTTTTTATGCACTATAGGCCTACATTTAAAGGGTCCTGGAACAGCGCGCCCAATTGGGCTACTTTGAAAGAGGTGATGTTAATCGGCAATAACATTTTAAAGTAGGATATAAACATCCACACAACTATCCTTTCAAAACTGGGCGTTTTTGTGTTATTCCTGTATTTTTCGTGCGAGAACGAATTTTCCCATGGGACGGTGAATTGGTCACCATGCAGCATGGGATTTTTCCCATGGGCTTTTTTTCCCATGGGAAATTTGATACGGGTATTTTCTCATGAATGGTTTCTTATCATTTCTCAAAAGACTCAAAATTGCTCCACTTGGTATTTGTCAGCAACAACTTTCTATGATTACGTTTTAACCCTGTATGCTATTCACTGAATATAGGTAGAGCACATGCGTCACGGAACTCTGGTTGGGGTAGTTTTCCCATGGTTTGATGTCCATGAAATCCCCATGTGTTCCCATGGTGTCCATAAAATTCCCATTGTGGTTCCATGGTGTTCATAATTTCCCATAGTGTTCCCATGATGTCCATAAAATCCCCATGATGCTCCCATGGAGCTCATAAAATTCCCATGGTGTTCCCATGTTGTCCATGCAATCTCCATGGTGTTCCCATGGGTTTCCCATGATCATGAGCATAAATTCTCACATGGTGATCATTTGAACTTAATACATGGTGTTCTTGATGACCCCATGCATGGGTTTTCCATCATCAGAATCCCATGAGACCCCATCGTTGCAATTTTAAAAGGAACATTAAGCGAATTGTTAATTCACTTAATTCATAAAATGTGTAACGGTAGTATATTTTGATCATGTAATTGGAGAATATTTCAGCTGCAGGATTTGCAGGTTTCAAGCTGCATTGACGCAATTCTAACTCAATTCTATCGCGATGGGTCAGTATAGGCAATCCCACGCACCCCCCCCCCCATGACTCGATCAGCATTAATTAACCCCAAGCACTTTGCAGCTCCATGTTGGACGAGTTTATCTCCGTATGACTCATTTGGATCCATAATTGCAATCAGTGTTACGCAAGACATTAACATCCAACGCGATTTTATCCAACGTGGCAAATATACATTTGTACAACCGACTATTCGATTTCTATATAGTCTCATACATCAACATTGTAGCCCCCCCCCCCCCCCCCCCCCGCCAAAGCCATCAGTTGCGAAGCCTTCATGTTGGACGAGTTTATCACCGTATGACTCATCCATAATTGTAATCAGTGTTACACAAGAGATTAAGATCCTACGCGATTGTATCCAACGTGGCATATTTTTACAACCGATTATACGCTTTCTAGTCTCATATATCAAAATTATAGCCACCCGCCAAGGCCGTCAGATCGCGGCTGCGAAGCCGCGTGCCGCGAAGCCGTGAAGGAGCGAAGACGACTGGAGCAAAGACCAATTCAGCGCATGCGGTCACTGTTATGTTCCAGTCGACGTAACATGCTCTAACATATCCCAAACTACTGTACATAGTACACTCTACATGCACCAGCGCAGCAGGCAGCGTGCTACAACTGGCAATTATAACAACAAACATGGACGCGGTAGACTCGGCAACACCTGCAGTTGGGGAGGGCTGGCAACCGCCTCTATTTAGCACATCAACATGGCTTCTGATCATCACAGCCGTTGGTCTCCTATTTGTGTAGGTTGAGTATTTTAAAATAATACGATAGCTCCATGTTGGGCCGCGCGTGCGATCGAAATGGGCCCGTGTAACTCGTGAAAGTTGCGGCTTGTAGTTCTACACATGTTCTAGATGTACATGTACATGTAGGCCTGCACGGGATCCGGATACGTGTGGCCTATGCCAAGTTGTCAATCTACATGTACATTAGTATGACTTAATGTTGGATATAGTCCTGCATTTATTTTACAGTACAAACCGATCATGTAGTAGGCTTTAAAAAGTACCTGTAAAAACTGTATACATACGACAACATAACTGACGGATTCCGTCCTGGATGTGCATGAGGCCAACCAGTTTTGTTACGGTCATGCACCCCCAGCACGCGGTGTTTTAATCCTGGGGGGCGGGGGGGGGGGGGCAATTCCATCCATGCTGAAGGGTACACCCGTCTTCTGCAAAATGAAGAGGGGAGGCTTTATTTGAGGCCATTTAGGCGATCGTGTGGTGTGTATTGCCTGTTCCCTATAATAGAAGACAAATAACACTTTTAATTTGTTTGACTTACCAAACTAGTTGTAGACATAAAGAACAAAATGTATGTCATCTAATTCTACCTCAATATTCATAGATAGAGGGCATAAGGTTTTGAATTTTTTGAGGAAAATTTGGGAGTAAAAATGCCGATGGTTGCAACAGAACGTAACCCGAAAATAAAATGGCGATCATGACCACGATGTACCGTGAACGCACAATATCGCCCTGATTCGCACAGCACCAACTGTAAAACGCGTACGAAAATTGCAATTTCTTCCCCAAGAAAATTTTTCAAGTTTTAACAAAACTGTGAAGTCTGCTTGAGGTTGAAAAAGTCATTTTATACGACTGTGCTTTTCTCTGGTTACCAATTTGTTTTTGTATGGGGGCTTACTCGCGCGCATCCCATCCCACCCTACGCCGCCGCCAGTGTGTAATCTCTACAAAACCAACAATAGGAACAGGCATGCACTTGTCCTCGGATCGATCAGCTGATTCCCACTTTCTTTCACCTCACACTTTAATATGCCATTACAAATTAAAAGCACTAAATACCAAGTCCTGTTTCCTTTTTGTTTGCTAATTCCAAGTTGCATGCCTGCATAGAAGGAGGGGTTGAGGAGCTCGGCCTAGGGAGGACTGGACACCGTGATGCGCCGTTCACTGTAGCTTAATAATCAACCCCGGTTCATGCCTGTACTTCATGCGAACGCGATGCGAATTTGACGTCATTTGCGAAATTCGCCCGAGTTAAATGTTCAACTTTTACGAATTCGCAGCGTGAATACTTGCCTCAAAGTTAATTTGAGTTCGCTTCGCGCAGAGTATGAACCGGGCACGATTTTTTTCCATACCACATGCTCGCTACTATAGAATTATGCTGGAGGCATAGCTGGATCGATCGAGACACTGCCGTAGTGTCATGGAAAAACGAGGCGTTTAATTTGTCGGAACTACGAGGCGTCGGACCTATGAGGCGTTGGACCTATGAGGCGTCGGACTTATGGGCCTTTATTTGGTCGGGGGATGCAATTTTGTCGGACTTATGAGCGTCGGACTTATGAGCGGACCCCATGAATTCTACATTGGATTACAAATCCGATGATGTGAGTTCGATTCCCATTGGATGTTCTTTTTAAATGTCTTCTTTTTTACTTCATTTTTTCTCTTTAAAAGGTTTGTTAGTCATTTGGAACATTCTTGTTTCACCAATTTGTTGTTATGCAGGATTTTTTCAAGGAAGAATAAAGTCCGAAAACCTGAATTGCAACTTCAAAGTACTTCGAAATACGCCCATAACGAATGTATGCGTAGGCCTACAGAAAAAAATATCGCAAACCGGGCTATACGGACAGCGAAATCACCGGGAGTTTTGCACGCTGCGGTTTCGCAAAAGTTGAGCGTATTAATTGCCAACTCCATCGATTTTGCACCGAATGTTTCATGACGTCAAATTAGTTTCGCAATTCTGATGATTTTTGCGTTCGCGTAATATTACAACAATCGATCGCGCTTAGCGGCCCGGGCGAAAGGCGAGGCGAAGCGGGCGGTAAAGCCGCCATCTCAGACCTTTTAAACACGAGGAAGACGATCCAATCACTAGTCGACGGCTGGTTCACATTTAACGAGTTAGTGAACGCGAAAAAGAATTCGTGACGGCGGGGTGACGGCAGGGCAAGTTTTCCCTCTGCGATTTTGCAGAAATTGAACACATCTCATGTCAACTCCGGCAAAGTTGGCTGGAAATTGTTAATGACGTCAAATTCACTTCGCATTATACCAGTGAATAAAACACTAAAACGTAGCATCGATTAAAAAAAAAATCAACATGTCCTTCTTGACACAGCTACGATTACTGGAGCCATCATTATCTGGCAAGATTGGGTATTCCTGGAGGAAGCTCGAAGCCGTTTATCGGTAACACCCTGGACTTCTTTTCCAACAAAGATGTAAGTAAAGTTTATGCACTTTATGTCAAAGCCTGCAGAGAATAATGACAATACTGGATTGAATTGTAGCATACGCCTTTTTGTTCTGGGTCTGAACGGGGAGGTTCACGCGCTTCACTATATTTTGCAGGTTCCTGAATCATGAAACATGACGACGATATCAAGTTTAAGTTAAATCGCAATAATGTGACAAAATAGATGTCGTTCTTTGCTTCAAAAGGTTTTTCCATTTATGACAAAGATTTTGTCTGGAGTTGTTATAAAGTGTTTTACTTGTTTCAGCGGAAGCGGAACGGTTTTCAAACGGGAAGGGGGGGGGGCGGGTCACCCAAAAGGTTTACTTGCTCAGTAAAAGGCATTTTCCGTCGGTGCAGCAGCACTTTTTACACATTTTTTTCCACAAGAAACTTAACCTCAGTAGGGAGGTGGGGGGGGGGGGCTGTTACCATCTTCCAAAATATGGGATTTTTTTTTTCTAAACAGGCGATGCCAACGACACATTATTTGCCCATTTTCAGGGCACATTGTAAGGATTTTGGGGCTTGGTTTATATATTCTTCTTCCATATCAGAACTTTCTGTGCAATTTTCGGAAACGGTAATTGAAAACAATTAACCCGAAATTTTATGGCCAGGCTTGTTTTCATCTCGAGGGGCACACTTTATGCTTGAGGGGGCACATTTATGTCCGCAAAAGGGGCACTTGGTTAAATCTGCCCCCCCTCCCCCGTTCAAGTTGTCCTGGCCTGTTATAGACTACGTTTTATAAGAAAGGGTAACATATTTGTGTAAATCGGTTTAATATATTTAAATGTTTTCTTAACACTTTATTCTGAACACTTTACTCGCATTTTTAAAGTTCGTTTCGAATTATAGATGGAATTGACATGTTCAGGCTTTCTTTATAAAAAAAGTGTTTGGGGAGTATGGTGTGCAAAGGTGATCAAAAAAAAAAGGTCGGGTGAGCAAAAAACAAAACAAAACAAAACAAAAAACACACACACACAAATGCCCGGACGAATTTTTGAATGACTTTCTGCTGCATGTAGCTCTTTCAAAATATAGGATAATGAAAGTCCAAAAAGGCTATGTGTGACTTGCTTTCGTTTTGCTGAAAAACCACACATTTTGGTGGTTGTGTGTAAAATTCCGTTACTTGAAAAGTACAGAGTGATTTGAATGACTCTTATACTAAAAGAAGACTTATCAATTTGGCTTTCATAAAGTTTTGAAAAGTGCTTCATGCAGATCTTTAGGCTTATTAAGAAAATAGTCCTGCCGTTTGGGTTTCCTTCTTTTTTTTACTCACCCTGTGGAATGAAAATAAATGAAAGGGGTACTGTAATTACGTTTGAAGTTAAACATTAATTTTCAGGGAATTGTGGGCTACCATGCGGAGTGCTTTGCCCGCTACGGGAAAATGTTCGGGTAAGTTATGCATGGTTTATTAATACCTATAAGACTAGTTTCCCCATTCTTATTGGTAAAGAGACCGTTACAATCGTTTTGCTGTGTGACTTTATCCATATGCAAATTATGCAAATGAGCTTAACGGTCCCATTGCACGTACCCTATATATACACAACCGTATACTATTCCAAACCCATTTCTAACTTAACCTTCCCCACTGTGCAGCTTCTTAACAAAAGTAAGAAACTCTCAGATTTTCTGTAATAGTAAAACATGTTCCTCAATCTCCATTATTATGAACTCGAGGTGACTGAATGAAAAAACAAACATACTTCAGAAATCCCTCTTTGAAAACAATATGAAACAACTAAGGCAATCACTCGGAAGATTGATAATATGAAATTCTCAAACCCACACAGTCTTAAAGTTCCTGTCTTCCACATGTCCAAATGATAACTCTTAAAATATCCCCTCTCTCTCTCTATCTCTGTCAATATTAGTCTTCTATTATATCATTGAAAAATATTACTTTGTTTGTTTCCTTATTTCCTCGACATTATCGCCCGTTGATTGTAGTTTTTATATGGGCTGGCGCCCCGGAGCGATAACTGCAGATGTCGATCTGGTCCGATTGTTGTGCATCAAGGATTTCACCAGTTTCACAAATCGGAAAGTGAGTAAACGCTCTATAAAGTCACAACTTCACAAACATTGCTGTCTTTGCTGACAAATGTACTTTTTGACATAAGATATAATCGAAGGGTGATATTGGTTTGGTTATTAAAAAAAATTAGCAAACTGCAAAACCAAATCAATTAAATCAAATCGTGTCCACCATGTCTCAAAAAAGAGAGACTATTTGGCCTATTAAGTGCCCACACAATGTGTAACATGTATGACACGTGGTGGGTCATTCGTTTCAAAGTCAGGTGTTTGTATATCACAATCCATCGGTTATACTGCTGCATGCGGCGTGGCGATTTTCACCTCCGGATTAACCTCGGGGGCTAGTCTGCACCCCTCAGGTGTTAAAACCGCCATATGCCACACCCAATTTCCCTCAGAGCGTTTGTTCTGGTACCTCCTCGATTCATAGAGGGTAACGCTTAGGGCCTCGTTCGTTCTTGTTTCGAAATTCATTTGTAGGCCCAACATTTTGTCGAAATTTCAATCACTGAAATTACTGCGTTATTATCAATTACGGGAAATTTGTAATTTGGGAGACATTCCCATAGAGTGCACACAATATTTCCGTCTTTAATGTCACCTAACCCCAATTTAACTGTATCCTACCCCCACAAATTTCGGGATGAATTGGACCACCAGCAATCGATCAAGCTAAATTTTGCATCTAAATAATAGGAGCTCAGTGACATTAGGGAGATATTGAAATGTATTTCCCTACATGTCTTGTGTCTCCCAAAGGTATAAACAGATATTATTTTGTTGTTGTTGGTACATCAGAAGCAGCCGATTGACAACAAGCCATTTGACAAGTCACTGACTGTCCTGAGAGATGACCATTGGAAGGACGTGCGGGGAATCCTCAGTCCAACGTTCAGCGGCTCCAAGATGAAGCTGGTAAGTTGTCGGGTCAAAAGTTGAGTCATCTACATACTTAAGGTCAGTTATCCGCTCCGTTCACAAGTACCCCCTCGCCGGCAAAGACGTACAGTTGGGGGTGACCGACTGACGCCATCTTGCCTGACTGCAATTCATTTGCTGCGAAGCGCGACCCCTGCGTGTACTTAGAACAAATCCCCTGGTGTACGTGCGTCACACACAAGGAACGATGCCAGCGAAATGTCCTGCCCATGGGACGTCGTTGCTAGGTAAAAGGGCGCCCTTTGATCGGAGCTCATATATCCAGCTGGCTGACTGTCGCAAGTTAATTAGTTGAAGAGGTGGCATGGGTGGCTTGTGCGTAAAGCGCTCGCCTCTCACCAAGGTGACCACGGTTCGAATCTTGGCCGCGGATCACATTTGAGTAGAGTTGTGCGTTGGTTCTCTCCTGTGCCACGAGGGACTTTCTCCGGGCCCTCCGGTTTTCCTCCCTCCGGTCGGGCCGCTGGCACGTAAAGGCGCCATAGGCGCCTTTACGTGCCAGCGGCCCGACCACGTTGTAGCCGCGTCCTTCGCAATTCAGCATACCAGCTGCGAGTAAGGATGATTAGCCTCCCAAATTATCATTATTATTATTATTATTACCTAGCTCAACGACTGTCCCTTTTGAGTTCGATTATAGATATCTCAATTGCTACCTGTCACTTGTGAATAACACATGTTATCTTTATATCTCATTGAAAAAGATTTTATGCGAAAGACTAAAATTGATATTTCATTTCAGTGGTGAATTATAGACTTTTTGTGTGCTCTGTGTGCAGTGCCAATGCACATACATGTATGCCTAGCCCGGGTCGGACTCCGTTGTGTACATGCAATGAAGACGTCGTCCAACCTGGGCTAGTCCAAACTAGTCCAAACCCTACGTTCCATCCGCACGAGAAATTAAAGAGCCTTTTTGACGAGAATCTTGTTTTACAAGAACTTTTTTTTCTGGTCACTTCCTTTGTAACATTACTCACGTCGTTTGTTTTCTCTTGAGTTTACATGTATACAGATATCTATTTTGTTTAGACCGTCAGAATACGTTCCCTCCACGAACAGGCTTCGTTTTCCTCCGAACATAAGAAACACACCATAGGCCAAAAAAGAAATAATCGGTCTCTGGTCAGACAGAAGTTCCGGAATTGATGCGGCGACGCGAGTATTTTTTGGGTATTTTTTTCAAGCTTGAATTGTACAAACAAGGTGGGTACTATTTTGCTTTTCTGTGTCCTCATTATACATTGGTGTCCTCCATAATTTGTCTTGGTGCCTTTCATCATTTGCCTTGGTGCAATTTCCCCATTCCTTGGTGCTCCGTGGTACAAAGATTTCAGGAGGTGCAGCAATAGAGGGCGCTGTTGTAGCTTCCGTGTTAATTTGAAGGGAAAAAAGATTGACGCGCATGATTAAAATCGACGCGCGCGCTGACCAGAGACCGAGTATTTTTTTTGGCTTTACCAAACGTTCGTGTGTTTTTTTGGTTTGTTTTGAGATTACCACGCTCAGTCAAGCAGATGTGTTTGTTAATTCTCTTGGAGATTTGTAAAAAGTATACTTGATGATCTTTGCTTTTTCCTGTTCAGATGGCGCCACTCATCAACGATTGCCTCGATCCTATGATCAGAAAAGTTGCTAAACACCACGAAGAAGGCAAGAGTTTACAGATGAAAGAGTGAGTTGACTGCTTTAGAATCACATAAATGAATGTATTGCAAAAAAGAGAGGGTGACACAGAACCAATGCATTGCTGGCTGGAGTGGATTTAATCGACGTTTCGAGACAGTAAAACTGCTCTTCTTCAGGAATCTATACAAGTCAACAAACAACAATAACAAAACAAACAAAACGAATTTAAACGACAATAACAGAATTTAAACAAGGGTGATAACTGTGGTGATTGAATCAGGTCGAAAATGAATGTATTTATTGATTTAGAAGTAATGGTTTTCCCCTTTACTAAATTTAGTCAAAGACGATAACAAAAATAAGTTTATCCTTTAGTGTAGCTGGGTCAAAGTACTTGCTTTCCTTACACTAACTTTTTGTTTCTCGTTTATACCTTTTGTATATTTTGGATCAATCTCTTCAAATCAACTCTCGACACAAAAACCTAGTGAGTTTGATAAAGCTGAAGTTTAATTTGGGAATCATCAAGACCATTTTTCCAAAGGTGCCAAACGGGGATGAAATAACCCAATGCTATAGTACAACAGTACAGTTCAGGTCAATTGAATGTTGGTCACTTCGGCACCTAGGCAATATGCGGTTACCTGTCAATTGATCCCGTGTGCAAAGCACCAGAACGGAGGACAGGTTTTCGAATTTGAACGCAGTGACAATGAAAGTACATGTATTAAATCTATTCAGGTGTATCATAAGGAGGAACAAAGACTTGTCCCTGCCAGTGGCGAAGCCGTGGGGGGGGGGGGGGGGGGGGAGGGGCGACAGTCGCCCCCCAGTCGCCCCCCCCCCCCCCCCACTGAGATTTTGAGTTTCTAAAACAATTATCATTGATCTACAAATTCCTGGCTACGCCACTGGTCCCCGCTGAGGGCTCTCTATGCAAGGGCTCTTTTTATTCGTCACTAACTTACTGTGGGTTTATTGGGTTCTCCTTCGTTCCAGTATCTACGGTGGATATCTGATTGATGCTATCGGCAACTGCGCTTTCGGTCTGACTCTCAACTCGCAGGAAACTGAAAACGACCCATTTCTCTCCAACGCCAAAGACATTTTCAAGTTTAGATTTACCTTCACGCTCTTCGTTTTCAGTAAGTTCATTCTACGCCAATGGACCGATCCAGTAAGCTCCGCCCAGTGCGCACGTGGGCAAATTAATACGCGCTCCTCTTCAATGCCACGCGTACGCTTCATTTTTCCTTCCGCGCGCATCATACGCGCGTGCACGCATGTCGGACTTTAGTGCACGCACGTCGGACATAGATGACGGCTGTGATTGGTCAGAACACCATGGGGCGGTGCTTACTGGATCGGTCCATTGCAAAACAGTGCCAGATATGAGAACATAATTATATTTGCAAACGAAACTGTTTTGTATAAAAATTATGTTCTGTGGCTTATTGAGTTGTGAAGCACACATATTCTGCTTAACAGCACAGAGAATGATTGCTAGACAAAAATCAGCCACACTTCCAAAGAGTCAGATATCGGATGAATTATGTGTTCCATTGTCTCTACTGAATTCTGATTGACACGTAAAATTTCCGAGCATTCACAAATTCGTGTTTGTGCTTGCTTTCTCATTGAGTATGCACCAGCCGAAACGCTGCTGGGCAGTATGATTGCATCATCTGCATACTGTTTTTGTTTTCCTGTAGTGTTTTTGCCATTCCTGGCTCCCGTGCTGAACTATTTCGGTGCGACTACCTTCAGACGGTCAACTATGAATTTCTTTGAGAACATCATGGACCAGGCAGTGGAACTCCGGAGAAGTGGAGCGGAGCGGGTATAATGTCCCATCGGCCATTTACATTGTTACATATCAATTCAGGGATTTCACCATAATTCCTTTTATTCCTGAACATCTTGTTTATACAAATCATTAACTACAATAATCAGCAGGCTATAGGCTCATTTTTTGTAACGCAGTACATTTTTACATGTAGGCACCTCGTCTTACCGTAGATTCCATAATTATACTGTAAACGATTTGTTGTGATTCACTTGTGACTGCATGTGGGGTATACTTGTAATAGACTCGAATGCAACATGTGTCTATCTCTTCATAAAGGTTTGTTCAATTATTCCACCTGCTGACGACATGTACTATTGATCTGTATTGCAGAGATTGGATTTCCTGCAGCTGATGTTAGACGCCCACAAGAAATCCGACTTGACGGCTGAAGACAAAGAACAGGCGACCGAGGAAGAGAAGTTGGAAGAGGAGCACCGCAAGCACATGAGCAAGAAATCCCTGACGATGGATGAACTCAAATCACAAGTGAGCGCGTAGTATATCAAGAAGGAATGGGGAAACTAATCAGCACCCTAAGTGCAAGGCATTTTATCTTAAGTTTCCCGAAAGTTATTCGAGGAAGCGCCTACTCTTATTTTCCAAGATTAACGTTCACTTTGTTCGACTGACACTGGTGATTAAATGTTCAGGAATAGATAGAGTACATCAATTTTCTTTTAAAACTCTCTCAATTTGACTGACTGAATTTCCATTCTAAATCGTCTCGGTCGTACAGTTTCATCAAGTGATAGATTATCATGTCGCAGAGATTAATGTTTTGTTCATCTATTACCTTCGTCATTGAATTGAAAGCTTTTTCCTTTTCTTGGGGGTTCGTCTCGGACAGGGATTGGTCTTCTTCCTCGCCGGCTTTGAGACCTCCAGCACCACGCTGGGCTTCGCCTCCTACCTCCTGGCAACCAACCCGGAAGTTCAGGACAAGTTGGTGAACGAGATTGACACCCTGGCCCCCGGACGCGATGACGTCACCTATGAGAATATCACCAAGATGACCTATCTGGACCAGGTCATATGTGAGACGCTCCGAGTTTACCCTCCCGCCATCGTGTGCGTATAGCTGCAATTTTAATTTTTATTTGCACAAACTTAATCAACTGTATGCTTTTTGTCAATTCGTGCGTCACTTGTTTCGTATGTTGTTCCCAGCTTACACTGTTTTCGTCTACCCTTTTCTATGCCACCGTGCCCAACCAGAGCTGTCAAAGCCTTTGTGTGCTGCATTCCCTGTGTTAAACTAACCCTTGTTTAGCACTGCCCAAGCCAACCTTGAGACGTTTCCTTTGTTTATCGGTTTAAGCGGAATTGGCATGCAATTAGCGGCTACATTATTGTTTCCCAATAATATCAACCCTTGCTGGCAAAAGCATTTTGCAGTCACTATAGGGGGTACTGCCATCTACGTTTGTGGCTTGGGAAAATACATTATATGGACATAACTAAATGTCCGCTTTGTTTGTATGGCTAATCCACAGCATTTCCCGTGAGGCCAGTCGGGACTACCTGTATCAAGGATACACCATTCCTGAAGGCATTGAGTTCTTCATCTCAGTCTGGCAGATCCATCATGATCCGGAGCTGTGGGAAGACCCGGACAAGTTCGACCCCGACAGGTTTGCGCATCCAATCCTTATGTCCCTTTCATTATGTCTGTGATACAAGGAAGATCCTTCATCCATCACAAGTCATTCAGTCCCAAGTCTTGATTTACTCAGGACTTGATTTGTGGTGGGCTTGTAATGGTATCGCACACTGCCGAGAGCTCGAACCTAGTTTGGAGTTTTCTAAGCTTCGTATAAGACCTATCCAAGTCATTTGAGACAGGTGTTCTGGGACGATTAAATGATACTTTGTATCTTATCTGCAAACGACGATTTTAACCCATCCCAGCAACTTTAGTTTTAAAGAGCTGAGTCATAATGACGTCAGGCTTTGTTCACGTTGGAGCTCCACTTTCTTTTTGGAGCTCTTTGGCTGTAAAGTGCACATCTAAACGAAGTGTGGCGTCATTGCATCACAGGGCAGTTGTTTTTCTCTTTCGCAATGTAGTTACAATGATTTGCTTAACAATAATCAGCGCTTTCATCATGTTAACATTTTGTGTGGCCTAGTGGTTAGGGTTCGTGACTTATGATCAGGGCCCAATTTCATAGAGCTGCTGAAGCAGAAAATTTGCTTAAGCACGAAAAAACATTGCTTAGTAAAATTAGGTTACCGGCCAAAACTCCATGTGATGTACATTGCTTGTGACTGGTATTTAGCTGTTGTTTACTTAGCATAACAATCGCATGGAGTTTTGGCCGGTAATCTGATTTTATTAAGCAAGACGTTTTTGTGCTTAAGCAAATTTTGTGCTTAAGCAGCTCTATGAAATTGGCCCCAGAGGGTAAGGGGTTCGAATCCAGCTGCTGACCATTATGTTGTGACCTTGGGCAAGCTTCACCCCACTTGCCTATCTCCACCCAGGAGTATGGGTAAAACGTATCGGCATTAGCTTGGGAGTAACCTGTGTTGGACCGGCTTCCCATCTAGGGGGACTAGACATTATTGTCAGTCGTCTCATGCCAAGGAAACTGGAGATAACGCCGGTCAGATGAGCTATATTGGTAGACTTTACTTATGCATTGAGTTGGGTTATTGCTTTCGCGGGGTATTTGCTTTCCTAGATAGCCACTACCCTTATACCTACATATATCTAGGCCTTTACCCTTTTCTGAAGCTGTGGTCGTGGAAACCATTAATTGAACAAGAAATGTTGCTTCGAAGGTATCACTAGACTGACAACAACTCGGAATCGAAGTACAACATTGGAACCTTTGGCTAACAACCTGCAGTTTTGTTTTGGATAAATCATTCAAGGACTTGACGTTGCAACCCTTCACTTACAGGCAATCTGTCTCGAGTTCTATTTTCCTGCCGCTGCGAGCTTCATCCTATTTTTGTTAGTGACGAACCCCGACCAAAATATTGATAAGTCTATTATGAATTTCCCTCGATGATCAGATTGGTTTAAAATAATGTCAAAGAAGCTTTGCCTGATTGCTATGTTATCTGATAGTAATGTCACGGTTACGTGTAGGGTAATTGCTGCCCCACGTGGTAAGTCTGCTTAATGATTAAGAATAGATCTCCTTGGCAATTGTTAAAGGGGAAAAACAATCAGAAATTAGCACAAATTGAAGGCAATATTTACTGTCAAGATGTTTTTCAATGATTTAATAAATCTTAATCTTATTTGACTAAATTGAAGACAATTAGTGAAAAAAATTAACACCATCCAGGAATCAGTCAGTCAAAATATTCTAAGTTTGTGTAAAATACAGGAGTGGTTTATCACTCACCTATCGACAGTGATATTTACAAAGGGTATAATAAAAAACATTATACTACAGCTAATGCCAAAGGGAACCAGTGGTGGGCCACCGGCGACAAAAATATCAAGAATGTTTGGCAAAATTTGTAGTATGTCAAAGATATGCTCAGCTATCACCTGATCAAGGCAAAAATGTTCTACGTTCAAGCACTGTATCACTGAGCGAAGGACGGAGAGAGGACGGTTTCGTGCAATGTGCCGAAGCACGTCGCGTAAGATTATAGTACTGGGCTTACATATCCGGCATAACATAACAATTTACATACATTGTTTCGCTATCATTAGACAGGAATATTCAAATGTAATGATCATGATTAATTACAAATAATGATTATGTCTAATAATTTGTATGGAGATAAATCAATTACATTTATGGGCTTATTTTACCTTAGCGCATGCACGGCATGGTCGCAGTGAGGTGGTTACATATACAGTGTTGCACACGGCGCGCTGAGTGAAGTCTTGTTTCGAGTTGGATCGCCACAATAAATTGATCGTAACATTAAAACCAATTATTTTTTTTAACAGGTTCACACCAGAGCAACGCGAAAACCGCCATCCATGTGCTTGGATTCCATTTGGTGTTGGCCCTCGCAACTGTATTGGAATGCGCTTCGCACTGCTGCAGGTTAGTTGTTATGCTAATTAGCAATTACAGTTATTCATTGGACGTCATTAAGCATTGCCTAGAAGGTCAATTTCAAACTGAACGTTGGTCTCCTTGCCGTATTTCGCTATCCTACAACGTGCGATCCCACACAAACATGCATGAGGAAAACTTGTTCAAACACAAATCCTGACTAACTCTTGAGTCCTTGTTGTGTAAAGTGCAGAAAGACTGGTGCGCGAATGTCGACTTTTACCACAACGCGCTCTGGAAAAATTGCGTTTTCTTACCATGTGGTGGCCCATAAAGTAGTACAATTTATAACGCTTTGGTGTGAACGACTACTTTGTTATACTGCAACACTAAGTCATTTCTGTTTATCAACAACATTTTGGTTTATATTTAAGTTTTCAATTTTGGCCTCCTTTCTTGGGTTTTCCATGTTGAAGACTGGATCCCGCGTTCACAAATAATGTCATTGTCTTATAAAACTGTCACAATACCGGTGCACACCAGTGCTTAATTCGTATTTTGATTTGCCTTGTTAAACAGGCTAAAATGGCATTGGTTCGGATGCTGCAGAACTTCCGCCTGGAGACTTGTGCAGAGACTGAGGTAGGTTGAAGAAGGCTTGGAACCAGACTGATCAAGAAAGTCGAGTTCATGTTGTCAAGAATAGGTTGAACAATTGGAACAAGTGATATTTTGTTTTGTTGCCTAATACACACTCGTCGCAATCATTAGTTTAATTGTTGCCTGCTTACGAAGTCACTCTCTTAGAATTGGAACACAGGCGTCCAAGTGATTGAACACTGCCTCATTGTCTCATACACAGTGTAAGAATACTGCATCACGGAAGCTTTTAATATTAAAGTTCAGATCGTCAGTCTGTAATTTTGTATGGTCCGTTTACAAAATGCATCCGTATGACGTGCACGAATGCATACTCCAGATTCTAGTGCGAGTCAAACACTCTGAGCATGAGTTATTAGAAGTTTCCTTGGTTTGGTAACGGTGTTACCATTAACATCGTAATCGGCTGATATCTTAAAACATAATAATTATTCGCAGTTAAGGTTACACGGGCGCATGTGTGTTCTCAGTTAGGCCTACACTCTGCTGACGTTACACGAACAGATCGTATTTTCTATGTTTTGAATCACATTTTGTTGCATGTTTTGTGTGGTGGTGTGCATTGGGGTAACTTGCAATTATTTTGATCTTTTATAATTAGATTCCGCCAGTCCTCGGCAAGTTTGGAATCCTGACTCCAGACAACGGTTTCAAATTGTCGGCTGTTCCTCGATCCTAAGGCCCTTTACCAACTAGAAGGCTAGATGCTTAGGAAGATCACGCCAGAGCCGGAATTCTAACCTGATATGATGACACGTCCCACGTAATTCCTGAGTCAATGATCACCAGCTAATTGGTCAAATTAGACATTTTCTGAAGTATCATGGCTTGAATCTGATTAGTGAGCATCGATAGCTTTTGAATCCTTTTTATTGAATGCAATGATTTTTTTTAAAGAAATCATACAGAGGAAATTCAGCTCATCTTGTTTTCATGCGCATTACTAGAACACGTGTTGCAACAATACATACAAGCTCATAATACTTGTTTTCATTACAAGTAACAGGAAAGTAGTAATTTTTGAATTATAATTAGGAGATCCTTTCATCAATACACTAAGAGGGCGCTATTTCACTTTTGTCGCACAGGGTACGCCTGTTCAAAAGTGCATATTAACAGTACAAAAAAGTTTTGAAGAAATATTGGCCATTACTTTGTCCAAACAAGCTGTTTGGCATGATAAACAAGTGAAAAGTGGAATTTAATGAAAAAAAGTTTGATCTATGATATTTCTACAATGGAGACGCTATTGATCTGCCTTGAATAACATTTCGCTTTGGCTCATGAATATGGAAATTTTTATTAGCATAAAAACTTAAATGTTGAAATTTCTCCCTTTTACTGCTACAAAGGAGGTGGAAAGTCATACTAACATGGCAAGGGAGCTGTTTTAATGTATTTAAGTCATAAAAATCATATTGCATGTTTCCTTCAAGTCTTTGGGGTTCGTAAATTTATTTTTGTTCCTGACCTGCTCCTCGAGTGGCACTGACTCAAGAGAAACTATTTGACAACATCAAGCACTATGCTTTTTGCATCATAAGACTGGATGCTTAAAAGTTGTTTGTTGTGTTTTGTTAATTGTAAACGAATGGAAGCTAAAGTAGCATCGAATCACTAACAAAATGTGTAAAATTGTTGAACCGCCATTTTAATTGGAATATTGTATCGTGTTATATTAAATTTTAGAGATGGAAATTATGTTAATGGAATTGCAACTCTCTCAATACTGTTTTTTTCTCTTTAGGTACATAAGGCTTGACAATCTATTATAATCAGTACCATAAGCTAGTCGTGAATGGAGTGTTTTCCGATACAAGCTTTTGAACAATGTATATTTTGTGCAAAACTTCCCAAGTAAAGGTACCTTTTGACTGCGATAAACAAAGTTCGTGTCGCCGGCGCTTGCAGGCATTGCTGTTGGATTGACTGCACAAAGCGGTTACTCGTGACATTGATGCGCTATATCTTAAATTTTCTCCACAATTTCTGGGTTTCAAGACTTGTTCGTTTGCCTGCTTGTTGGCCTAATCATAAGCTTTCGAACAACGTATAGTTTGTGCAAAACTTTCCACGTGAAGGTACATTTTGACTGCGATATACAAAGTTCGTGTCGCTTGCGCTTGCAGGCATTGCTGTTGGATTGACTGCACAAAGCGGTTACTATAGTGGCACTGATGCGCTATATCTTAAATTTTCTCCACAATTTCTGGGTTTTAAGACTTGTTCGTTTGCCAGCTTGTTGGCCTAATCTTAAGTTTTCGAACAACGTATAGCTTGTGCAGAGCTTCCCATGTTAAGGTACCTTTTGACTGCGATATACGAAGTTTGTGTCCACGTACCCGTTGCAGGAAAGAATGTTGCAACCTGACGCTGTTTTTTTCCCTTCAAAAATGATGATAAGAAATGAATCTTGGACTAAGACATGAATCTTTGTTAGTAAATACCTAGACAATTTTCTAGACTCTCCATAGGCTTTCTATACAACCACTGAAGTGGCGTCAGGTTGCAACATTCTTTTGCGATTGTGTACGAGTTGGTTCGCGTACGAGTTGACCTGTGTTTGGCCTATGTAGGCCTACACGTAAACATTTATGCGTACATACTCGCCGTGGCCGAGCTGTGGGCCATCGGTTATGCATCCTGTACTGCTGTATCTTATCTTGCAAAGTGTCCAAGAACTGGGACGGTATGACAATTACAATTAGCTTGAGGAAAATGTTATCTTCAAAGACCGAAAGTAGCTGTTGTCACAGACGTCATGGTTTCTCCAACTTAAAGCTATATGCTGTGATATGCTGCACGGTTCGGGGAGGGAATAAATAAATTAAAATAAAACAGGTCGTGTTTTGATGGGTACGTTCACAAAACCCAATTGTATATAATAATATACATGTAGTAATATTTCACCTGAAAGTAATGTAAAGTTTACGTAATTGTCTTTTACCTAATAAATGTGTAAATATATTTACACAAACATTAAGTAAACTTTTACACAACTGTCAAGAAAACTTTTACCCAATACGCATTATGTAACTTTTTACACAATTGCAAGCGAGTTCGTATAGTACATATAAAACATATTTGAATTTTACACAACTTGTGTAATTTTTTTCTGAGAGTGTGCGCACTAGTTTCCATAATAACGCACTGTCTATAACCATGTAAACAAATAATCGAAGAAATGATTCTTTCAGTCGTCACCGTTACCAGAGAGATAACATGGACACTCATATCGAGTGCGTTCGTTTACTTCCCCAAGCTCATTCGCGCCTGGCCCCTCGCGTGATGACAGACATGCGCAGTGAAGCTAAATAAACGAACGGTGATCGGGTAAAGTTTCGTGCAAGAACTGGAAACATGGGCGTCGCCAGGATCTTTTCGAGAGGGGCCGAAACATTTTTTTTTTCGCCTCTTTTCCTTTTTTTTTTCTCTTTTTTTTTTCTTTTTTTGTGTGTTCTTTTCCAGGGGGGATGTTGCAACCTGACTCCACTTTCTTCTTCATATTTCATCTCAATGAATGACGTTCATTGCAAAAATATTGATAAGACATGAATCTGGGGCTGAAAAATATTTCCAATTGTGTTAGGAAAAAGGTTCTTGACTCTCCATAGACCTTGTACACAATTGTGGAAGTGGCGTCAGATTGCAACATTTTTCCCAGGCAGCATCCGAATCAATTAACTGTCTAGGGCACGTATACGCCCAGTGAAAATACGCGGGGACGCGCTAACAATAATTCGTAGCCGTAGCTCCGTGCATAGAGCTAATAGCGTTTGTAGCTCTATGCTCCGTGGAAGCCCGTTTCGGACACGGCTCAGTGAGTAACCGGCTCGGCGAGTCGGTTACTTGGGCCAGGCTCGAGAAAGCGCGAGAAGTCACGTGAGAGGTAAATCGAACGCTGTAAATTACTTGCTTGCACGAGTAAGCGCGGGGGAAGCAATCCAACGCACTGAGCGAGAACATCACTCGCAATATTAAGCGACAAATATCTTTTGAACGCGAAATCTCGCCCATTTGTCTTGTCGGAAATTGAAGTACCATATTCTGCAAATTGCAGATTTCTTGTGATTTGGGGCTAAAGCTCTTTTATCCTACTTCAAAGCATGCGGGCCTCAAGGTATACTCTCGCCTTCTTGCAATTTGGATTGGAGCTCGCTTTCTCTGTGCTGCCTGTACGAGGAGAGATGTGTAGCGCAATGATCAAGGCTGCAGCCGGCGATGATTTTACCACGCTCCGTGACAAGACATTCGCGGCGTTCAGAGAAGAATGTCGGCTCAACTGTAAGTAGTGCTCCCGACCTTAGCAAAACAAAATTTATTATTATCGTTTTATTACCGCTCAACCTGTGCCTGGACCACCAAAAATAACAAATGGGAAAACAATGAATACCACATTCAGGCAATCACGCTGTTGTTATTTGAAAAGCTATTTAAAACAAAGTTTATGCGCGGGTGTTGTCTATGCTTTCATCATGACATGGATCTGTACCTTAAATTAACTGTCACTACATCCAAAATGGCTGCCGCTACATCCAAAATGGCTGCCACTACATCCAAAATGGCTGCCGCTACATCCAAAATGTACCCGAGGTTCGTGGTGCAGATATAATGTTAGTCTTGTATGCATCTTCCCAAAGATATTTTATTTCAGTGATTCACTTATGATAATCTCATTGCAAAAAAATACAAAAGAATACACAATACGCACACATTAAGCCATGTATTTGGGTGCAAATCTAATTTGTTATCTTCAGATTGTTTTCTTTGCAGACCAACTGGCCTTTCTCCAGAGGCAGAAAATGATAACCATAGCAATAAAAAGGGACGCCCTGACGTCTAAACTGTATTTATCATTGCAGCTTGTTCGTTCACCAGTGCGCCCTACCTAGATCGACGTGTCATGAAGTACATCCTGAAGCCGCTGACTATGCCTTTCCGGTTGGAATTCGCCGTGAAGACTGAAAAAGCAGCTTTGATTTCCTTGGTAGAGAACAAGACAGTTGACTCCTTCTTTGCTGACATCAGTAAGTAGCACTTTGCATACTTTCGCATTAATATGCAAATAGTGGAGAAACTTTACAACAGAATCGAAGTAAATTTTGTTAAAATGTTTACTTTGGGAGAAATTATGTGGTGGGGTCATCGCACTTAGGTCCAGTCCAAAATTTAATATGACGTCACATGACACGTGATGACGTCATCATGATGTAACTTCAATTTTCGTGATGTAACTTCAATTATAACACCTCTCGGACTCATAGAGGGCGCTGTGTCGGAGCTAGACGACTTTTATTTCGCGGGAGATTTTTAGCTTTTTAATCCTTGATTTTTCGCGTTTCCTTTGGCCATCCAGGTCTTTTAACCCATTTTTATCGCTTTTGATGTTTTTAAGGATCTGCTTATTGGTTTATTGTTCGTCGTTCGTGTGAATTTTCGTCAAATCTCGTCATTTTTAGTCAACTGTGTAAACAGTGAATCTTGAAGTCGGCCATTTTAAAAAAACACTGTGCAATTTATAGACCGACATCGAAGTTTGTACTTGGACTTCCTACTACCGCTTCTGCAGCTTTTGACTTGGATTAAACCACCATGGAGTTCACCATTACTTATTTTGTGATTGGATTCCTGCTTACTCTCGCACGTATTAGTGATGGGATCTGCAAAACTGTAAGTACAACCGTAGACACAAGGCTGACAGAATGTGATCCCGATATTGGCACAACAAGCACCAGTTATTTTGCAACTGCGTTACTGCCTCGTAGACAATTTATCAAAACTCTGAAAAACTCTCATGGCCTATCCTGGACCCATGTTTTGTTGATCGGACTTGGAAATGATGTCAACCTAAACCCAGGCCCTCCATCCAACTCTTCGCGTGATGACCCCCCTGCACCGTGTGGTGTCTGTGGAGAGGAAGTAGGCTATTATCCAGAGAAGGGTATCCAATGTGAAGAGTGTGAAAAATGGAATCATGCCGCTTGCATCAACATGAGTAGTAAAACTTACAACTTGTTGGCTAATTGTAGTACCTCATGGATTTGTGATGGGTGTGGTCATCCAAATTTTTCTGGTTCGCTATTTAGTATCGTGACTGATTTTGAAACTGAAAATCCCTTTACTCCACTTGACTCAGACCAGTCTTTGAGTGATGTACAACCCCTTGCTGCATCATCCCCCAAACCGCCTTGTAAAACCAGGAAGAGAAATCCTCCCATACGTGACACAGCAAAAACAAAGTCTAAGAAACCCACCAGAGCGAAGAAGCTTACTGTCATCAACATCAACTTTCAAAGTCTGAAAAATAAGGCTTCGGAACTTTTGGGTATCCTACATGAACATACGCCGGACATTCTTATTGGCACAGAAACTTGGTTAAATGAAAAGATCCTTGATGCTGAGCTTTTCCCACCAGAGTACGCTGTCTTTAGAAAAGATCGTAATGATGGCTACGGGGGTGTCTTGATAGCTGTCAAAAACCTCTCCTGTCATCTAGTGGATGAATTAAATTCTGACGCTGAATGTATCTGGGTTCGCGTTGAATGTGGACCTAAGAAGAAGGTGTACGTGGGGGCTTTCTACAACCCAGACTCCTCTCATGAACCGATTGATAGACTTGATACATCTCTCTCAAAGCTCCATCAAATAACCAAAGGAAAAGGTGAAATTTGGCTGGGAGGAGATTTCAACTTGAAAGACATCAATTGGGATG